TCTATTGTACAATAATAGCCAGAATCTACTATCATCTCTCAGTTTCATCCTTCTATCTCTACCGTTAACAACTCTGCCTTTTCATTGGTCTGATATACCACTTAAATTTAATGCAACTATTAATAAGATTGGTATGCAAATAACACTTTGCTGCTTGATTTCTATTTGTCCTGTTATTTTTTTTTTTTTTGATTCCTAGTTTCTCCTTTCCTGCCTTTCTTGGGGGAGGAGGTGATAACTGAATAATCTTTATTATCTTATTTTAATTCATATTGCCAATTTAGCTACATGTATTTATATTATTTTGGCGGTTATCATAAAGATTAATTTATCACAGTCTACTTAGACTTATTAGTGTGTCAATTTAATGTAACTTTTTTTTTTTTTATAGAGGCATGTTTTCTTTCTTTCTTTCTTTCTTTGTTTGTTTGTTTTGTTTATACATGTACTGGGTACAGTCAGAAGCGCGGGAGGGTGAGAGAATTCACCAGAGCCAGAGTGGGGAGCAGAACAGGCAGAAGGACCGAAGTACACTGCTGAGGGGAGCAGCAGGCGGCAGGAGAGGTCTGCACGCCATGCGGGACCCTCCTCCGGTGGCCGGGAAGCAGCCGGGGATCGAACCGGCGGCGCAGAGGCCGCGGGCAGCTTCGCAACCCAGCGCTCAACCGCTGCACCACCGGGGAGGCCCAGTGTGTCAAGTTATATAAAATTAAGACTCTTGCAAGAGTAAAATTTCATTTGACTACTTCTTATTCTTTTTTCTACTGCTTTCATATATTTTACTTTTGTTAGAAATTTTGATGGACCTTAGTCAGTTATCTCACAAAGAAAGTAAGAGAAGAAAAAGTAATCTTTCACATTTGCCTTCATATGTACCTTTTCCAATGCTCTTCTCCCTTGCAATACACCCAGCTTTCAAACGATGTTATTTTCCTCTGCTTTGAAGTGCATGCTTTAGTATTTCTTGAAAGGCCTGATAAATACTCATTATCTCAACTTTTATTTACCTGAAAAAACTTCATTTCACCTTCATGTCTAAGAATATTTTCACTAGATTAAAAAATCTAGATTGATAATTATTTTCTTTTCTTACAAGATTTTAAAGATGTCATTCTATTGTCTTCAGTATTCCAATGTTTTTAATGAGAAAGTACCTACAATCTGTACCATTGTTTCTATTTATGTAACATGTCTTGTTTCTCTAACCACTTTCAAAATTTAACCTTATGTTTTCTTTCCAGCAATTTGACTATGATGTCCCTAATTTGTAGTTCTCTTTCTATCTTTCCTGTTTGGAGTATGCTGCATTTCCTGGACCTGGCAAGTTGATGTTTTTCACTTAATTTCGACCATTATTTTCTCAAATATTTTTCTTCCCCATTCTATGTCTAAAGATCTATAAGATCACATATTATCATTCAGTACACTAAAACTGTTGATTTTTCTCCTTGTATTGGTTTTCCTTCTTTTCATATTGGCTAATTTTTGTTGATCTGTCTTCCAGTTCCTGACTCTTTTCTCTACTTAGTGCTATTAAATCCATCCAGTAATATTTTTTGTTTCAAAAACTGTACTTTTTGATTCTAAAATTTCTAGGTTTTTATAGATTTGCTTTCTTTACTGAGATTTCTTATATCTCTCTACTCTTCATAACCATTGTTTCTTTTATGTCATAAATACATTTTTAAATTCAAGTTTCAAATCTTGTATGATAATTTCACATTAAATTCATTTGCTTTTTTTCTCCTGATTACAGATCACATTCTTTAGCTTCTGTGCATGTCTATATACTTTAATAGTATATTAGATATGATATTTTATTGTAGTAATATTGGGGTCTTTTATCTTGTATCCAAAAAACATTTGATTTTTGTTCTAGAAAGAGTTAAATTACTGGATTGTCACACAGAATTGTGAAGGCTCGGTGTTATGCTTTGCTAGGGTAAGTGGAAAATCCAGGGAGTTATAAGTTCCCTAATTTGAAAGGATTCAAACTCCAAACTCTCACTTCTTTGCCTTGAGAGTATCTAAAATCTCTTTCCAGGTTTTCGAACTTTCAAGCATTATTTTTTAATTGATTTCTTATAAACTTCCTGTGCATGTATAGTTCATCAACCAAAGATTTGAAGAGTTTAATTTCATATATTGAGTTTTCCTCACTATGAATATTCAGGCTATCCATCCAAGTTTTCATTCATTCTAGCATTCTTGAATTCTACTCTCTTATTCTTTAAGCCAGCAGAATTCTGGCTTTCTGCTTTTTTGGCTTTTAAATGTTATATATCAGGCAGATGTCAGAGAGACTTCTGTTTTTAAAGTCATATAAAAATGATTCTCAGAGTTAAGAGTTAAATCCTCCCTAACTCTCCAATGCCTTCAAATTATGCATATATACACAAATATACACACATGTATATATTAGAATTGTTATCTGTGAAAAGGTCAGTCAAATTTTCTGCAATTACTGGAATTAGAATTCCATTCTTGGCATTCATTTGCAAACCATCACTCTGAACTATAGCAGACTCTGTAACTAGTTCCCAAGAGTTTTTAACTCCTCTTTAGCTTACAATTTTACCCTGCTCAAATATATTCTCCTTACAGTAGCCAGTTATTTTATTAGAAATCCAATTTTAATCAAGTCACTCTACTTAACACTCTTTCATGGCTTCCCATTACACCTATAATAATATCCAGAATTCTAAGTACAGCATTCAACAACTTATATAATTTGCCCATCTATTTCTTCAACTACATTTAAAACCACATTTTAAATGAGTAGATTTCTATTATTTTTCAATATTCATTATCTTTATTTTCAGAAATGGAAGCAAAAGGAATCTACACTACTCAAGAACTATTGCTGTCATGGGAGTTAGCCTCCTGGATTCAGACACACCAGCTCCCATATGTTGAATTAAGCTAACAAGCAGATTGTTACTTTAATCAAAAGTTTTTCTTGGTTGAGACAATATTTGAATAGATGCATCATAATTTAGTATTCAGTTTGATAAGGACTATTCGTTAAATACGTAGGACACATTAAAAATAAACCTTACTTAAGAAGCTAATAAAAGAGTATCAACTTGGAGGTCACTATTTTGAATATATCTGAGTTTGTTTTCAACATTAGCAGTCATCAGAATTCTCAGTTACAAGTTTCACAGTTCAGATGACTCAAGAACAGCAGATCTCAGGAAAAAGTCAAATATTTTCCATTCCTTTACCTCTAAAAAGGTAACACTATTAGCATCACAACTGAGAATGTTCATGTTTCTCAGAATATATCACCTGCAGGGTTCATTGGACAGATCTAGAGTTCCTCATCACCCCAATTAATTTTCATTCATTCATTTATTCAACAAATATTTCTTTTGCTGCTTCTGTGTGGAAGTCACATGCTGGACACAGGAAATACAAAATTGATTGAGATAAATATGGTCTCTCCATCATGGAGCTTAGAGTCTGGTGAATTTAAGAAAGTTATCTAAACTTACCTATACATCTCCCATTTGTTGTATCCTCCATATGAGGGACTTCCATATAAAATAAAGAATATAGACTTTATGATAAGAGTTAAGCAATGAGGGCTTTTTCCCTTCCTCTTCAGATTCTCTATTTTCATTTTATACCACTATCATTTCATAAGAAACAGTAACATTTATCTCATTCATAAATTAAAAATTTTCCTTTAACCACATTTTCAGTGAGCAAGCTTCTGTTGATTTTCGGTTTCTCTGCATTAAGTGCTTTGTTCTCTCAAGGTGGAAACAGAAGCAGATCATAAATGAACTAAAGCAGTATGCTCTCAATAGATTAGAATGTAACCACTGGGTGACTGGAATTGGTAGCTTCCTTGAGCTTACCAGGTTGAGTCAAAACAATGAGACTAAGATATTTGATGAGAAGTTTCTTGGCAATGATATTATTTTAGTCAAGCTGAAAGTATATCCCATTCTATTCTCATTGCCTCTCAAAATAAACATTACAATGATAAAATAACAAAAAGAAAAGATTGGCAATTCATGAGTTCCTCAGCACCAAAAGTGAATGTAGCAACTAAGTTAAACAGGACTCTGTATTACCTAATATTCTGTATAAACTTCCCCTGGTGAGTACTAACCATTTAGCAGCCTCTGGAGAAGCTTTGCTTGCCAGAGAACTCTGTAAGATGCCAAGAACACTGGAATCAGATCAATTCCCCACTTCCTTTGACTCTGGGCATTCCCAAGTCTAATTCCCTTGCCAAAACATTACTGGTGATGGTATTTCTTCTAGTAGCCTCCGAATTTTGTGATTTTTAAAAAAATTATCTTATTTACTTTTCTGAAATCATTTCACCTTTTATTATTTCCAATCTCCCTCATTTCTCCTTATTTTCTCTCTTATTTCAGGATCTCCTGAAGCAAAGCATTTTTTTTTTCATGCCTAACCTGCTGGGTGTGAAATCAACAAGGATCTCTCATCCATTCTTAATTTGCTTCACAGCAGGTGCTGTGGTGCAGCAGCAATTCTGGACAGAAATGTAGTAGAGCTTTTGTTGCAGCTGCCATGCCAGTTACCAGAAGATCAATAAATGATTAGAATACCTAACACTGTGAAGGATTCCAGTAGCATTGAAATGATGATATAGGAAACCACTTAAAATTCATGCATACACTTACTCTTTGACTGTCAAGATTTCAAATTTACCATGCACAGTACCTAACCAGTTTCTGAATATATTTTTTGAAAGAGTTTTAAGGTTGATTTTTTTGTTCCATAAGTTCCCACATACATTTAAAGAAAAAGATAAAACAAGTTAAAATGTTGACAATTTAATCAATTAAAAACTAAAGATGTACAAATAGAGTTTATTTGTTCAGCACTTGTCAAGTACATTTTCTGGATAACTTATTTTTGTTCTTTCTGGAATGAAAATTTCAAAATTTATAGCCATTGCAAATCAACAAACATTTTCAAAGTTCCTATATATAATTCTTTTCTTTTATATAATCTGAATATTGAATAAAATTTCATTTTTATCTTGATGCAAGAATTCCAGTTATTTGTTTGCACTTGGTTTAAATGACTTTAGCTGTAATTGCTTTTTTATAGCTTTTCCATCTTTCCATGGGTAACAGAAAATGCCACAATCTCACAGAATGAATGTATTTCAAATCCCTATGTCTATACTTGGGCTCTCGACACTGATCATCAGTCCTTCTCTCTTTCTTGTTTATCACTGTATCCTTCCTGCAGAATACAAACTGTTCCCATGTACTCAGGCTACCAATTTCACTATCCACTCTCACCTCCTATGGTCTTCCTATAATATTGAGAAAATTGAACCATGAATGCAAGAAGGTCTTTCCTATTTCTAATTCAGCATTTCAACATAAGCTTCCCTTCCTCAGGGGAAGAATGGGTCCTTTGACCTCTGCTTGCCGCCTCTCTTCCAATGAACTACAGGAGTTCCATCAATTATTTCTCCTGATTGTTCCATTTTAATTCTGTTTTCCTCTTAACCTATAAACCTATATGTCTCTTTCATGGTAAAAAACAAACAAACAAGCAAACCAAAATAACAAAAAACAAAAAACAAAATTCCTATTGATATTCTAGCATGCTTTTAACTATTGTTTGCTCGTACTGATTCTCATTCATGACTGGTACCTTCAGTGTTTTAAAATTTTGAATTCTGAGCTCAGTTAATCTAAATCTATGGAAATAAGGGGAACTATCTTAAAAGTGAATTTTCTAGAGAGTAATTTTACTTACTTCTGCCAGAAATTATAATAATTTCTAAGTTTGGGATTATATAGATCAAAGTACCAACTTCACATGAAGTCAGGATTATACTTAGGAATTGCTAAGAAATACAGTACTATCATTCACTTATCTAAAGCTTGAGCCAAGGATGAACAAGTGTCATGTACCTTTGCTGATGAGAAGACCTTCTTTTCCGAAAGACTATTCTGAGAAAATATCCCTTTGGAGGAACTGGCTATAGAATCACAAGGTACAAGGTATTATTTCAGCCAAGAAAACCAAATCTCCTGGTACCAGAAAATACCTTCATGCAGCCACAAATGCAGCATTGGATTACCAACCCAGATTCCTGCATTTTCTTTACTTTTAGACAATGAGGTGTTTCCTTGTGAATGTTAAAAAATTGTTACATTATATTCAGTACATTTCATAGGTGATGGAGCCCTTCATATTGCTGGAAGCAAAAATCCCCAAGTTTCTCTAGCAGAAAAACTGGAGTCCCATCTGTCAAGGTACTGTCAGAATGAATTATTGTGATAACAGGGAGCTCCAAAATAGCAAGTTGTATATGCCTACAAAACAAAATATTAATATTTTAATCATTTTCTAGTAGAAAGAAAACAACTAGTCCAAAGAACATCATACTTTATATTAAAGAACAGGTAAAAATAAAAAGCTATATTGCACAGTTAGCTATGGAAATTATATTAATCACAATTTCCATTTCAAAACCATGTAGGAAAATAAGCCTTAAAAATTTAAGCTAACTGCCTAAAGTCACACAATAATTAAAGGATAAATCTTGCTTTTAAAACTAGAGTTTGCTTTTTAGAGAATCCACAATAAACAAAAGGATTATAGCCGTTTAGAAGTTTCCATTATATAGTTATTAAGCAGACATAATGAAATAATTTTTTAAAAAGATTTATTTATTTATGCATACAAGAGCTGTGGTGTAGGCCAGAAGTGTAGGAGTGGGAGGAGGTGGTGAGAAGACCCACCAGGGGTCAAACTCCTGCAGTAGCTGCCTACAGCTTCATATTGCTGAGACTTAACTTAACATAATGAGATAATTTACCTTTAGGATACAAATAAAGACTTTAAAAAGGAATCCATGATATATTGATAAAAGAAAGAAGACTCTATAGAAGAGGACAGGAAGTTTAAAAATAATAAAATAGAATTTAAATGAAAAAACCTAGCAACTACTCCTCTCATTTGCAATTATAAACAAAAAATTAAAGATCAACCTTCAAGCTAACAACAACTATTAAAGCCAGCAAAATATTTCTTAAATCTTTCATTTCACTCAAGGATTAAAAAGGCAGGGATGAATTGAAAGGTCAAGATGTAGGAGTAAAACTTAAAACAATAGAAGAGCTTTACATTTAGGGACACTTCTTTAATGCACATACATGCTCATACCAGAAGACATACCTGGGAGAATCAGGAACTTAGCAGGATTTTTAACAGATTCATGGTACAAAGGTAACAAAAAAATAGAGTTCACTACCTGTCCAGAATAGGGATTATGATAAATACCTTGGACTTTGGTTTGAGACCACAAAGAAATATACCCTAGGAATGAAGCACTATCACAAGACAAGCTTTATAAGAGCTGATCCAGGGGCCTCCCTGGTGGCACAGGCAGTTGAGCGAAGCACTGTGAAGCTGTCCACAGCCTCTGCAGCATAGTTTCGATCCCGGCAGCCTCTGCAGTGTGGGTTAGATACTGGCCAGCAGGAGAGATACCCACATGGCACAGCAGACATCTCCTGTCTTGCCCACTGCTCCCCTCAGCAGTGTATTTCAGTCTGCTTGTTCTGCTTCCCAGCCTGTCTCTGGTGAATCTTCTCACCCTCCCACACATCTGGCCTGTACTCTAGTTCTTGTATGCATGAATAAATAAATCTTAAAAAAAAAAAAGAACTGATCCAATAAGAATAATACTCCCAAACAAACAAAAAAACAAAACGGAGTCATGTCAAACCCTGACTGAATTAGATTTTCTAGAACTGGAATTTCTAGCCATCTCCCAGAATTTCTATAAATCCTCTATGATGGAAAATAATATCTTCATACCCCTAAATTATTCCTCCTGCTTCATGTGACATGCACACTTTATATTAAAAAAAATAAGGAAGATATAGGAAGAAAATACAACATGATCACAAGCAGGAGAAAAACAGATAATAAATATAGACACACAAGAAATCCAAATAAGAAACATATTAATATATTCATGGAAATATAAAGTGAAATTGAAAATATTTAATAGATACCAAAAAGGGGGGGAGATCAGGTGGAAATTCTAGTTATAAATAAATACATCAACAAATTAACAACTCATGGGTTTACAGTATATTAAGTATATGTGAAAAAGGAGTAAGTTACCTGGAAAATAATTCAGAAGAAAATTTAAAGAATAAAATACAGAGAAACAAAGAAAAGTAAAAATAGAGAATATTACATAAGTGATACATAGGCAACACAGAAAAAAACTAAAACATATGTTACTGAAGTCTCAGAAAAAATGGGGCAAAAAATACCTAAAAATATTATGGCTATGCATTTTTCACAACTAGAAAAGGATATTGAGCCACAGACTCAGGTTGCATTAGGTAATCCAAAAATAAAAAATACAAATCCACATTGGCATATGATAGTAAAATCATGAACATGAAAAACAAAGGATATAAAGGATAAAATAAAGGATATAAAATAAAAGATATAAAATCAAAGATTAGTTATAGGAGAGGCAAACAGAATAGCTTGATGGGATCCACAATAAAATTCATCATTTAATTTTCAATAAAACTAATAGAAACAAGAAGACAAACATTTGCACTTCCAAAGTACCAAAAGAAATTACTGTCATTTTAATGCTCAATAGTCAATAAAAACATCTTTGTGGAATGGAGCTAAGTTATGATATTAAAAGATCAAAACAAAAAGAATCTGTTGTCAGGAGATCCACTGACATTGTTAGCATATTCCATTAACAGGAATGTTAAAGAAATTATAGTCACTACTAGTAGAAAGAAGGCCCTAATAACTGGGACAGGACATAAGGTGTCTTCTGGGTGCTGGCAAAATTCTATTTTTTTAATATTATAATATTACAAAACTTTATTATAATATTATAAAACTCCAAAGCAATCAAATGATAGACAATCTTATACATGCAAATGGATTTTGAGCATATAATTGGGACTAAATGAAATGTAAACATAACACATATTTCAAATGTATAATCTTTAAAAATACATTCTGTAATCAAAAGTAAAAATGTATATATGTTTTCTGACTTACATTATTCAATCAACTGGTTTTTTAGAAAACCATTTTAGCTTTAAGAAGTGTATTTTTAAAATATTGTTCTCAAAAGATGCCTGAGTAGTCCTATGAGTAAGATTAATGTCAGCTTAAAGGTCCCAAAATTTTCTTTAAATGGACCAGTCATAATTTCAATTTTTTTTAAGAATGCAAAATAAATATTGAAGATAGTTTTGTCATTTTAAATTAAGGAATATTCATAGATATAACTAATAATTGACAATGGTTCACTTTCCTAAAATATGATGGTCTCTAATAATTCATGCATTTTTACATTACTTGCTATATTCTGTGCTAAGTAGCAAAAATTGTGTCTATTTTTTATATATTATTTTTTATTTTTTATGTATTTTTTTACCAAAATTCTATTTTTTAACCTACATCATGGTTACAGGGTTTATTTTAAAACGATTCACTTAGGGCCTCCCTGGTGGCACAGGCAGTTGAGTGCAGCGCTCTGAAGCTGTCCGCAGCCTCTGCAGTGCCGGTTCGATCCCCGCCGGCCTCAGAGCAACCTACATGGTGAAGCAGACCTCTCCTGTCTCACCCGCTGCTCCCCTCAGCAGTGTATTTTGTCAGTCTGCCTGTTCCCCACTCTGTCTCTGGTGAAAACTCTCACACTCCCGCGCATCTGGACTGTACCCCAGTTCTTGTGTAAAAGAAAATAAATCTTTAAAAGAAATAAAATGATTCACTTAGACTTATCCTTATGATTTGTGGATAAGTTATACTCAGAAAATTAATGAAGTGTATATACATCTGTGCAAACTACCCAGAGAACAGCATAAGGAAATACACAGACACAATGAAGAAGTTTAGAGACACAGAGGCTAGAAAGTCTATAGAAGTTACAAAAGGAGAGACTAGAAAGAGGAAAGAAACAAGAATATTCTAAAGTGCTGAAAGAAAATAACTGTCAACTTAGAATTCATTGACACATTTTTGATGTATTCAACAAATGAATACACTTTCTAGATACAGTATTAATGAATACATTATTTCTTCTCTCATAGTTATAAGGTCAGAAGTCTGAAATTAAGTCCAAGCATGGTTCTAGTACCTTCTGGAGTCTCTGGGGGAATCCTTTCTCCTCTGGTTTTAGAGTCAGCTGGCATTCATAGACTTGTCACCCTGTCACTTCACTTTCTGCTGCAGCATCATATTGCTTTTTCTGGCTCTGAGTCCTCCTGAGTCCTTTTTTTATAAGGATCATTGTGACTATATGAGGCCCACCCAGATAATCAAGGATAGTATCTCCATTTCAACAGCCTTAATTTAATCACACCTAAAAAGTCCCTTCTGTCATATGAGAGAATTCTGAGAATTAGGATCTAGAGATCTTTAGGAGACAATTATTTAGTCTCATATATTATGAATACATTTCTGTTGAATTTTACTTCGGAGCAAATTGTTAGGGTAGCTATTCATTACATTCAGCACTAGTCAATAATGCCAAACAGTTTTTCCAAATTGTTTTATCTACATATACATCCACTAGCAATGTTTCACATACTTTTCAACACATAAAACTGTAGGTCTTCCCAATTTTAGCTATGGTGGTAAATGTGTGTTATTTTATTAGTTTAATCTTGATCATGTTTACTTTCTATTTATTAGTAACTAAAAAGTTGGGCATATATCATATGTTTTAATGGTCATTTAGATAGTCTCCTTTGTAAAAAGATAAACAGCTGGGGCTACAACAAACTAAAAAGATTCTGTACAGCAAAAGAGACAGTAACCAAGAAAAAGAGACGCCCTACTGATTAGGAGAAAATATTTGCACTCCGCAAAACTGATAAGGGACTGATATCAAAGAACTACAAAGAGCTTACACAACTCAACAAAACAAAATAAAGAATTCAGACAAAACGTGGGCAGAAGAGCTAAAAGACACTTCTCCAAAGAGGAAATACAGATGGCGAACAGGCACATGAAAAAATGCTCAGCATCACTTATAATCAGGGAAATGCAAATCAAAACCACAACGAGATCTCATCTCACACAGGTAAGAATGGCCAACATTAAAAAAATAACAACAGGGCCTTCCCGGTGTCATAGCAGGTTGAGCGCTATGCTGCAAAGCTGTCCACAGCCTCTGCAGCACGGGTTCGATTCCTGGCCCCCCAGGGAGAAACCCACATGGCGTCACAGACCTCTCCTGCCTCGCCTGCTGCTCCCCTCAGCAGTGCTTTCGGTCCATCTGCCTGTTCTGCTCCCTGCTCTCTCTGGTGAATTCTTTCATCCTCCGGTACCGCTGACCTGCATCCCAGTTCTTGTATAAATAAATATTAAAAAAAAAAAGTATCAACAACAAATGCTGGCAAGGATGTGGAGAAAAAGGAACCCTCTTACATTGCTGATGGGAATGCAAACTGGTCCAACTACTATGGAAAGCTGTGTGGAGGTTCCTCGAATTACTAAAAATGAATCTGCCATATGACCCAACAACTCCACTCCTAGAATCTAGCCAAAGGAGACAAAAACATTAATTCAAAATGACAATTGCACTCCTATGTGCATCACAGCACTATTTACAATAGGTAAAACAACCTAAATGCCCCAAAACAAATGACTGGATCAAGACACAATGGAATACTACTCAGCAATCATAAAAAGATAAAATTATGTCATTCACAGCAACATGGGTGGAGCTGGAAGGGATTACGCTCAGTGAAATAAGTCAGAAGGGAAAAGAAAAATATTGGATGGTTTCACTTATATAGGGAAACCAAATAAGGGATCAGGAAAAAAAATTATTATAATAAATAAAAAATACAAAATTAAATAGGCTACTATAAATCAGAGACATTCTGCAGGGAATGGAGAGGGAGAGGTATCGAAACAGGAGGGAAGAGCACAAGAGTCTATGGTGATGGTTCATGGATGTCTTAATGGTGGTAATTTTGGGGGGCAACACCTGAGAGGAGAAACAAAAAATTGTACAAAAATGAATGATGATGTAAAAATATAGAAATTTTTTTTTTTAAATTCTCCTTTGTAAAGTGTCTATTAAGTCTTTTATGCTCATTTTCTTATTGGGTTATAATATTTTCCTTATTGATTTGTAGATGTCTTTTATGTGTTTTGCATATAACATATTTGTAAGATATATACATTGAAAATACTTCCTCCCATTTCTGAGATCTGCTTTTTCAATACCCAATAATATCTTTTGATGATAGCTTTGATAAATTTTAATTCATCAGTTTCTTCCTTTTTAGTACATTTGGGGGCAACGTATAAAGAATTTTTGCCTACTCCAAAGATGCAAAGCCATTTCTTTATGCTTTTGCCTATAAACCGTTTTAAAAATATTTTTCTGACTGCTGTGTAGGCAGTAGTCTTAGATAAACTACAACAGTTAAGAGATTGCTAATAAACAATCCATTATTCAGAGATATCAGTGCCAAAGTCTCAGTAATTCTCCTGGATTTTCTTTGCAATCAGTGGCCAATAATGTTCTTTCTACCACATTCACTTTGAAGGCATTAAAATGCAGTAAGGTGCAATGTTTTTTCTCTTCCCTTTGTTCTTCCCAGATTTATCAGCTCTGTCTAAAGACTTCTTCCCAAAGCTACACCCAAAGGCAACTCTGTAATCTCCTCTGCCACTTCATATGTAAGAGTGAAGAGAAATTCTAACTTTGAGCTATTCAGTCACGCTGAGATAATTAGAATACAATTTTTAAAAAGGAGGAGAGAATGGATCTCTTGGAGCTCATTAGCAATATTTCCTGAGGGGAGGAGTAGAAGCAGGAAGATCACTTAGAAGCCTACATTCCTACCAATAATGTATACAAGGGTTCCTTTTTTTCCACATCCTTGCTAACATTTGTTGTTTCTGGTCTTTTTGATATAGGTCATTCTCACATGTGTGAGGTTATATCTCATTGTGGGTCAGTTTTAATTTTTAAATATTGATAGATATGACCCATATACCTCTTTGGGAGGTATTCAAAAGGTTTAAGACCATAAAATTCCCTGAGACCAAAAAAGCATGGTGGATTAAACCACTTCTTTTTTTTTTAAAGATTTTATTTTTATACAAGAACCAGGGTACAGACCAGACACGCAGGAGGGTAAGAGGATTCACCAGAGACAGAGCAGGGAACAGAACAGGCAGACTGATGAAATACACTGCTGAGGGGAGCAGCGAGCGAGACTGGAGAGGTCTGCTTTGCCATGTGGGATTTTTGCCAGCCAGCCAGGATTGAACTCACGCTGCAGAGGCTAAGGACAACTTCTACAGTGCGGTGCTCAACCGCCTGTGCCACCAGAGAGGCCCTAAATCACTTCTTTTGTTGTAGGAAAACAAAACCAAAATGAAAGTTTCCCCTTTTGCCATTCTACCACTTTATTACTCCACTGAACCACTAGTCCCAAGGAACAGTCAGATGTAATAATTAGGTACCATGTTCAAACACAAAAAACCTGTCAAGAGAATGAGAGGAATCTGAGTGAAGGCTACCCAGATAATCGATGGCTCTATAGACAAAACACCAATGTAAGTTTTCTGTTTTCATTTCCATCCTATATTTACCCCAAGTTTAAAACAGAATTACCTTCTCTTAATTCCTGAGGTCTGAGAAATTAGGATCACTGTCTGATTCTCCTTGCACAGTTGCCCCATTTAGAGAGATTTCTGATATACTCCATTGGTGACCCTATATTCTGATGCCACTGCCCAGAGGTCTTTCTGCATGAGACTATTTCTCAGAGGTATATCCTTACTCTGGAATGGAAAATGTATTTGATACCAGGTGCCAACACTGATATATTGTTAGCAGCTGACTGGAACATTGTTTGAGAAGGATTCTGAGGATTCTGAGGCATTTCCAGGCTTAGTAAGACAAATGCCATAATTGATTAGTGGTCTACCCTGGGTGCTAGAAGAAAGAGTGTTTGCTTATTTGCTGTATATTTGCTGAGTGAAATCAATTGGAATTGCTATAGTCAAACAGATGCAGAGCAAGACTATAAATGTTTAGTGCATGTAAAAAGAGACAGAAATGTAGCTACTATGACGCATAATAATTCATATCAGCAATATCTTCCTCATAAGCAAATTTATCTGCTTAAAATATTAGCACAGATTTTAAGATTCAAAGAAACAGATTAAAGAAACAGAAGAATTACCTTAAAGGTTTGCAATATTACTAAATTCAAAGAAACAGATTAGTATAAAGAAATATAAGAATTGAAAAGCTTCTGCACAACAAAAGAGACATTAACCAAAACAGAGACACCCTACTGATTGGGAAAAAATCTTTGCACTCCAGTCAACTATTAAGGGTCTGATTACAAAGGTATACAAAGAACTCACATGACTGAACAAAAACAAAACAAACAATCCAGTCAAGAAATGGACAGAAGAACTTAAGAGACATTTCTCCAAAGAGAAAATGAAAATGGCCAACAGGCATATGGAAAAATGTTCAACATCCCTTATTATCAGGGAAATGCAAATAAAAACCACATTGAGATACCAACTTACACCAGCAAGAATGGCACATATCAAAAAAAAAAAAAAAAAAAAAAAAAAAACAAGCAACCAGAAATATTGGCAAGGATGTGATGAAAAAGGAACTCTCCTATATTGCTGGTGGGAGTGCAAACTGGTCCAACCACTATGGAAAGCTTTCTGAAGGTTCCTCAGTCTACTAAAAAGTGGAGCTACCATACAACCCAGCAATTCCACTATTTGGGAATTCCAATACTTTGGGTAGGGATCTACCCAAAGGACACAAAGACATTGATTCAAAAGAACACCTGTACACCTATGTTTATTGCAGCACTATTTACAATAGGTAAAATGTGGAAACAACCCAAATGCCCGAAAATAGATGAGTAGATCCAGAAGATGTGGCATAGGGGCTCTGCAGTGGTGCAGCAGGTTGAGCACAGCACTGTGAAGCTGTCTGCAGCCTCTGCAGTGCCAGTTTGATTCCCAGCTGGCCAGGGAGAATCCCACATGGTGAGGCAGATCTCTCCTGTTTCGCCCACTGCTCCCCTCAGCAGTGCTTTAGGTTCATCTGCCTGTTCTGCTCCCAGCTCTGTCTCTGGTGAATCCTCTCACCCTCCTGCGACTCTGGCCTGTACCCCAGTGCTTGTATAAATAAAATAAATTAAAAAAAATAGATGTGCCATATACACATAATGAAATATTATTCAGCAATCAAAAAGATAAACTCATGCCATTCGCAGCAATGTGGATGGAACTAGAAGGAATTATGCTCAGTGAAATAAGCCAGAAGGAAATAGAAAAATATTGCATGGTTTTACTTATAGCAGGAATATAGGGAAACCAAATAAGACATCAGTGTAAAAAAAATAATAACAGTGCAAAACACAACAATGCAAAAACGGACAATTATAAATCCAGAGATACACTGCAAGGGAGGAGGAGGGAGAGGGATCAGAGGGCGGAAGGGAGGAGCACAGGGGACTGAGTTGATGGTGCATGGGTACACTAGTGAAGGAAACTATATGGGGACTACACCTGAGGGAGTGGGGGGAAACAAATATTGTTTAAAAATTAACAATGATGATGGGCCCCCCTGGTGGCGCAGGCGGTTGAGCACCGCACTGTGATGCCATCCGCAGCCTCTGCAGCACGGGTTCGATCCGGGCCAGTAGGCGAGAATCCCACATGGCGAAACAGACCTCTTCTTTCTCGCCTGCTGCTCCCCTCAGCAGTGTATTTCGTCAGTCTGCCTGTTCTGTTCCTCACTCTGTCTCTGGTGGGTCCTCTTGCCCTTCCGTGCATCTGGTCTGTACCCCGGTTCTTGTATAAAAAATGGATAAATCTTTAAAAAAAATGAACAATGATGTAAAAAAATAATTAAAAAAGAAATATAAGAATTACCTTAAAGGTTTGCAATACTTATAAATTTGTAGCCATTTTTAATTTTTACATGAGCCAACTACTCTTGATTTGGGCACTTGTAAGATTTTGGCCAGAACAGATTTTCAGAAACAATATCAGAATTTAGGAAGATGAATTTTAGAGATGCCAGCTATGGCTCTTGACAACTTCCAGATATTGGCACTACTGCTGCAGTGTGGCATCTGCTACAAATCCTCAATTTCTTTATAACATATTATCTTGCTGTTATAATTAATAGTTATTACATGGAGGAAGAAGAGGATGAAAATGGAGAGAGGAGAAGAAGCAAGAGAAAAAGAAGGAAGACACAAGTTGCTCCTGGAGATTTGAGCCACTGTGAACCTACCCTGCCTGACAGGATGCACAGACACTACATATTTCTTTAGAATTCATCCCTCTGACAATTAGCTCCGCACACCATACTGTCAGCAGTGATACAAGCTGGCAATAGAGTTCTTTAAATCACATTTTGTTGATGAAATAGGGGAGTTTTCAGCTCTTTTGAAAATGAGGGCCAAGCACTGACAAGAACACTAACTTGTTCCTTTGCGAATTTGCCTTTCTGTCATTTTGCCTGGGAGTTATACTTTGGAGAAGTGTACGCAGGAAAGCAAGTGATGCCTGGAGCTAATAAATCTGCCTCTAAATACAGCATTGTGAAAGATTTGAGGGAAAGTAGCAGAACCAGGAAAGACTAATATAGAATGTGTTCCCTTGGAAACATATAACTTAGTGCTTTAGGACTTTATATAGATAAATATAATTTGCAGTAAAGTTTTCACAAAACGTGGCTCTAAAATGAACTTCTGGGGCCTCCCCTGGTGGTGCAGCAGTTGAGCGCTGGGCTGCGAAGCTGCCTGCCCCGTCTGCAGTGCCGGTTCAATCCCAGGCCACCGGTGAGGGTCCCACATGGCACGCAGACCTCTCCTGCCGCCCGCTGCTGCCCTCAGCAGTGTACTTCGGTCCTTCTGCCTGCTCTGCAACCTGCTCTGGCTCTGGTGAATTCTCTCACCCTCCCACACTTCTGACTGTACCCAGTGCTTGTATAAATAAATAAATAAATCTTTAAAAAAATAATAAAATAAAATGAACTTCTGACAATAGAACCACAACACTAGTGAGAAATAAATGGGGGAGGGGAGCATCAATTCATATTGAACCTAACAGCTTACAAAGTATTTACATGCATTTCATTCCATAGATAGGACTCAAAGACTATACCAATGAGAATGTGACATGAACCATAAGCAATGTCCATTACTGATTGATCTTCTGATAAAGGTAAAAGATCACAATGAGCAGAAACTTGCTCCCTCACCCCTCAAACAAAGCTGCAAATATCAAAAGGGAATTTTAAACCTCACTTTGAAATAAAAAGAAAATGAAAAATATAGGAATGCAGAAAATATTCTAAAATAAATTACTAAGGCCATGACTTTTTGGGATTTAGTTGGAGAAAATGTCAATTAGTAGGAAAAAGTATGAGGTCCTTAACCTAAGTCTTGGGAAATGTACTCCTAAAATTCATAAATTTGAACTCTGGAATTCCATAAACAAGGTGGCATTCCACCATCTTCCCTAAACAAAAGGAGAAATATGGTATTTTAAGAAAATCATACTCAAGGGTATATATTAGCTCTCTTTCATAAAACAAATGTATCAGACTATTAGCTATCTTTAAAGCCTCCTTGAACTAATTTTATTTAAAATCTAGATTTCTAGTATTTTAGCGTCACCAGTTTATCACAGCAATGTACCTTTGATTCTGAATTTTGTTAACTTTAGTAAAGACTTTATCATTGTTATCAAATGTATAGATGACAGGTGGTCACAGAAATAACAACACTGAATAATATATCTAATTTCTGAGATAATCTCATTCAGATAGAATAGTTTGTTCTTTTTAGTATCCCCAAAGCATGCTACTATGCCTGGCATATAGACCTCAAACTCTATTTGTTAAAAGGATGAATGAGTGAATGAAGGGGTGAAAACTAAGAAGATGAAAATTTATCAAATGAAATTTATTTGTTCAGTTACAGAATAGGTTAAACCTAGTTTGATAGCAATTTAGATAAATACCAGTCAGAAACAGTGCATTACTAGCTCAATTTAAGCCAAGAATTCAATTAACAGAACTATAATATCTAGGGAAATTAATCTCACTGACATCTGCTCTAGGCAGACTATGTGTAAAATACTAAATCCCTTCTGGGAATCACTTTCTAAAGCTGACAATGACAAAGTAGAGTACAATAAGAAAGAGTAGCCAGAATATCTAGAGGTGTGGAAACCTTGTTAGGAGATATAATTGAAGGATCTCAGGTGTTTAACATGGAAAAAGAAACTGGGAGGGACAAGTGTCAAATAATTAGAAAGCTGTCATGAGAAAGATATTAGAGTCATCCTGTCGATCATTCACCAAAAGAACATGGAAGCTACAGAACAACAGACCTTGTAAGAAGGAGGAAGGAATTTCTAACAGATCTGTCCAAAAATGGACGTGTCTACTAGCAAAGGGAACATTTCATCATTTTAAGTGTTCAAGCAAAAGAAATCTGCATAGTCTATAATTCTATGATCCCGCAGTGAATCGCCACCTCTTTCTTCACTTACTCATAAGGTAGTCCAGCAAACTGACACCATGGCAGAAAAAAAAAAAAAAACCCTCTTAAAAGTCACAACCTCTTTGCTCTAATAATCAATGCATTATTTTCATTTCCTTTCAGTCTGCAGGGGTACGAACTATACCATTCCCTGTACCTTCTTGCTTCCTTTATTTCTACTTCAATTTCACCTTCCTTTTTCTGGCCTTTTCTCCCTCTTCTTCCACCCATAAAACATAGTGGTTTCCCAAGGCATGGATGCCTTTTAATTATAGGATTTAATTGCCATTTTTGATGGTGAGATTGTGAAATCTCTACAATAATGTCAGTAATGTAATCAACACTGTCATGTCTTTCCCATTTCTCTATAATGACAAATTATAAATACTGACTTCTTTGATAACACTCATTTTGCAGTTAAGTTTTATTTTCCTAGTTGAACTGGAATAAGAACTTCAAATTTTGTTGCTTTGTTTTCCTAGTTAACAGGAGGAAATCCTGAAAATTTCTCCAAAGTTTCTCTTGGAGAAGCTTTACAGAATCATATCTTTTATCAGTGAAACTATCAATCCACATTACCTATGACAGAAAATTTTATTTTAAAATAATAAAACTTTGTTTAATTTAAATCATGTACCTAATGACATAATCATTTACCCGGTGTGGCTGAAAAGGCCATGAGCCCTTTTCACATAATGGATATGTCAAAATTTAAGTTTCTAGAAGCTATTAGAAATATTTCTAGAAAATTCAAATTGTATTTTCCAAGTCTACACCAAGATTGTTCTTCAAAGTCTTTTGTCTTCTGTGTTATCATTATTCTGGTCTTACATTACTTAAAGCTCCTCTACTCTGTACCAGATGTTGGCCAACACTGAAATATTTCCCATTCAAATTCATATTCCTAAATTAAAATAGATAAAACTACAATTGGGGCATATGATTGATTGGTGAAGACAGTTGCCTTGAGTCTCATGATTTCAGAGTCTGAAGAAATGTGTGCTCTTTTCAAAGGTCTAGATTGGAACTCTTCAATAGAGTATTCGGTAAAGATGAAGATGGTTTGCTATACTCTTATAAGAGAGCCATGAGTAACTATGGCTATACAACATTTGAAACATGGATATATTTACTGAAGGACTTACTTTTAAATGTTATTTAATTTTTAAGACTTTATTTTTTTCAGCATATTTAAGTTTACAGCAAAATTGACAAAAAACTATAGCGATGTCCCACATGCTCCTTGCCTCCATCTATATACAGACTCTTCATTATCAAGATCTCCCACTAGAGTGGTACATTTTTTATAATTAATGAACCTACAAGGACCCATCATAATTACTCAAAGTCCCTGGTGTTCATTAGGATTCATTTTTAGTGTCATATATTCCATGGGTTTGGAAAAAATCTATAATGATATATGCCTATCATTATAGTATCACAGAGTATTTTCACTGCCCCAAAAATCTGCTGTGCTCTGCCTGTTCATCAACCCCTGCAAATAACTCCTATTCATCAACCCCTGAAAATACTGCCTCCTCAACCCTGCAAACACTGATCATTTTAATGTCTCCATAGTTTTGGCTTTGCCAGGCTATCACATAAATGGACTCATACAGTATGTAGCCTTCTCAGATTTGCTTCTTTTACTTCGTAGTGTACATTTGAGGTGCCTCCGTGTATTAATGACTTGATATTTCATTTCCTTCTAGTGATGAATAATAAATATTCCATTGTTTGGATGTTCCACAGTTTACTTATCTATTCACCTACTGAAGTACATCTTAGTTGCTTCCAAGTTTTGGCAATTATATATAAAGTTGCTATAAACAATCATATGGAAGTTTTTGTGTGGGCCTGAATTTTCAACTTCTTTAGTAATACGAAGGAATGCAACTGCTGGATTGTACTGGAAAGGTATATTTAGCTTTGTAAGAAAAGTGCCAAATGGTGTTCCAAAGTAGCTTATCATTTTGCATCCCCACCAACAAAGAGGTCTTTCACCAGCATATGATGTTTCCAGAACTCCACATTTTGGCCATTCTCACAGGTATATAATAGCTTTAATTTACATTTCTCTGATGACTTAATGATGTGGAACATCTTTTGATATGCTTATTTGCCATCTGTTTATTTTCTTTCATAAGAAGAACTCTATTAAGGTCTTTGCCCATTTTTAAATTTTGTTGCTTTCTTATTGTTGAATTTTAAGAGTTCTTCATGTATTCCAGACAACATTCCTGTATTGGATGTGTCTTTCGCAAATATTTTCTCCCAGCCTGTGGCTTGTCTTCTCATTCTCTTGACATTGATTTTGGACAGGGCAAGTATTTTGTTTTTTTAAAAAGTTCAGCTTATCAATTATTTCTTTTCACGGGTCATGCCTATTGTATCTAAAAAGTCATCACCATACCCAAAGCTACCTATCAATAAGTTACCTGCTAGGAGCTTTACAGTTTTGCACTTTACATTTAGATCTATAATTCATTTTGAGTTAGTTTATGTGAAGAATATCAGGTATGTATCTATATTTTTTTGTTGTTGAAATGCTGTTCCAGTACCATTTCTTCAAAAGGCAATCTTTGCTTTCTTTGCCAAATATCAGACAACTATACAAATGTGGATATATTTCTGGACTCTTATTAAACTGATTTAGTTTCTTGACATCCATAAAATAACTTGCTGGGATTCTAACTGGGATTGCACTGACTCTATAAGTCAAGTTGGAAAGAATTGATGCTTTAGCAACACTTAATTTTACTATTCATGAGCATGGACTATCTCTCCATTTATTTAGTTCTTTGAGTTATTTTCTCAAATTTTGCAGTTTTCTTCATGTAGACCTTACATCTTCTGACAGACTGACACCTCTTTTATTAACTCTAGCTATAGAGCATGGCGTTAAAAGTATTTTTTTAACTTAAATGTAAAGATAAAAAGGGAAAAAGAAAGAAATATCGACTTTTTACTGATCTCAATGTAGGAGAAAAGCAAAATAAACTTGCTACTGGCTTCTTCCATTTCATCCACAACCACATTTATAACCTTAGTTTTAAAGTTTTAAACATTTTCGCATTATATGACTAACCAACTTTTCCCTTAAAATAGGAAAGGGTCTAGAATACATGAAAGCAACTCAACAGTCTTTATGATACCCAAATTGTTCATCTTTGTGCAAAAAAAATACAAAGTAATTACCTTCAGTAATGTCCTACACACATCGCTCTGGGCCCAGGTAAGAATTAACACCATTTCCTATATAAAGGGGACAGTACATTTGGTTAAAAACAGCTAGAGATGTGGGAGAGGCTCTTTGCAGGTCCAAGCACATCTCTTCCCGACCCCTCCCTCCCAAACAAGAGGGCAGACGAGGGGCGGGGGAAAGTGATGAACTTGATCCAAAACACCAGGAATTATGCAAACATAGACCTGAAGTAACACTCTACTAACTTGACGCCATCCTGCAGGACTCCCGCAAGACGCAGAACATGAGCGACGGCAGCGCCAGCACCGAGAAGGTCGCCCCGCCCTCGCGCGGGGGGCGAGGCTGAGCGCCTCCGCGTCGCGCGCCGTATTTGCGTCGGGGGCGGAGCCTCTTGTCCCTCCGCGCGGTCCGTTCCGCCTGGCCTCCCGCAGGCGTAGGGCTGACGTGTCTGCAGTTCCTCGGCGGCGCAACGCACTCGGCAGTGATGGCGGACGCCTGGGAAGAGATCAGGCGGTTGGCGGCTGACTTCCAGCGGGCGCAATTCGCAGAGGCCACGCAGAGGTGCCTGATCCTCTTCATTTTCTGGTTCCGAATATCCTCTAGGCGGCCACGCCAGTGTCTGAGGCCGCAGATTTCTGGCCCGAGACCCCAGACTTTCTCAGCCTGTCATCCCGCCATCCTTTCTCCTTCCCGAAGTTGGATTGAGGTTCCGAGTACAGTTCTCGCGGGGAAGCCCACAAGCTACTACACCCCAAAACTCTAACCCTGCCCCGCCTGGTGCTGGCGCGCCCCGCACCCACGACGGCCTGGGCTAGTGGCTTCCAGCTGTCTTAGTGTCCGTCCCATACCTGTCACCAGGTCACTGGGGCATCACTGCCACATTATACACTTGCTGACTTAGACTGAGCTCGAAAGGAGGGGCTAACCCCAAAGTAACAGCGTTTCGCAAATAGTACGTTCACTCTTGCCTTTTTGTCCACCTGAACAGATGTGCTGGGCCACACCCTTGGGCCCTTCTGTTAGTTGTACGAACTCCAGGACACTGACGTTTCTTCTAACACCACTAACTTTTTGCTTTTTTACTTTGTGCTGTTATAGAACACATTTAATGCTAATCGAATTCTTTTTTTATACAGTGATTACTTTCTTGCCTTCGATATTGTTGTTCTGGGGCTGAAGACATCCTTCAATGTTGTGTTTTGTATCACTGAGAGCAAACTAGGGCACCTGAGTGCTTGAAGTAACTACAATTGCAGTTATGGTTTTCCTAGGACAGGCAATTTGCAGTTAATCTAAAACAGAATTCTGGGTGCTTTATTTTTAAATGAATTGAAACTGGAAGTTGAAAGAAAAGTAGACCAGTTTTTTTTTTTCCTGCTTAAATTATATGTCCACACTCTTCTGTTCAGATTTGAAGATTAGAAGGAGACCTGGAAGAAAGCAAACTTGAAATCTGTAATAGGATGATTTCATCAATTAAGTGCATGATCTCAGGACATGCAAATCTGCTTATTCCCAAGAGTTTAACTTATTGAATCAGTATTGCTGTATTAGTGAAAGATACAGATTTTGTAATGAACTAATGGCACTTTGTGCAAACTTCGAAGGTCTGCTTTCATACATTCTGTTTATTTTATTGATCCCCAAATGTATCAAGTGTTTTTTAAAACTTTTCCTGTTTCTTTTAGATTGTCAGAGAGGAACTGCATTGAGATTGTGAATAAATTGATTGCTCAAAAACAGCTAGAAGTAGTTCACACACTTGATGGGAAGGAATACATTACACCAGCCCAGATTAGTAAAGAAATGAGAGATGAGCTACATGTCCGAGGTGGTAAGTGACTCCTTAGTTTTGTTTTGTTTTGTTTCTTTCTGGTTTTTTGAAAAGAGGGAAACTTTTAAAACCATAAATTATTTGGAGGTTATTGGACATCCTACTCAATTGTTAATACAGTAAGCTACCTTAATATTTTTAACAAATTCAGGCAGACATAATACAATTTAAATGAAGTCAAATATTATCACTTTACAAAATTGTATTTTTTGAGTTACGTATTCTATGTGAATTAATCAGTTTTCTTTTCATAATGTATTAATTTGTCCGTGACTTAGAGGAGGATACTTAGGTGCCTGTTATCAGGTGGTAATTATGAAGGGGGAACAGGGATTTTAAAGGATTATATATTCTTGAAATTCATGATGGTACTGCAGTGCTTTTTCTTTAAAACTTGCCTTTTTAAGTATCTTTAAATTAGGAAACTCAATTCAATATGGTACCTCACCTATTACATTTTAAGAAATGTTATTACACATACACAAAGTTTTGATTTTCCTTTGTCTTTTTAAAATTTGAACGAACCACTATGCAAAATACTATTTCATTAAAATAAAAACACTACTATGAAAACTACTCTTTAAATCTTATTAGACATACCCTTGCTTTTTTTCCAATCTTCTTACCTAGTGCTAATAAAATGTTAGCTATGATTTGAAAATTATAGATATCTTTAATTAGGAATACTTCACATTTTTTGCTGATAGGTGGGAAAATACTTCTAATTTCAAATAATTGAAAAAGTTCAACTAAATTTAATTGTCCATATCTTGGTCACAGTAGATAAATTCTGAGTTCTGAAGAGAGATAAATATCCTCCATTGGTCTGACCAACTTGTATATTAGTTAGTACTTGTAATTTATCTTTTGTGACAAAATTTTGAAATTAATATCTATTCTGTCATGAGGATTTATTCAGCTAATAGTTTGTATTGGACTGTGACTCTATGTCCTTTGTTGAAAGAGGATATAGACTGTCCAAAGTGTAAATCTGTTGGCATTTACAGGTCTTGATGGTATGTACTTTATATGTAATCTAAAATAAATGAATGTCTTGTCTTTTAAGGTCGAGTTAACATTGTTGATCTACAACAGGTAAATTTTAAACTTATAAAATATCCTTTTGCTTTCACAATTTTTTATATGAATTTTTTCAGTGTCTTTAAATGTATTCACTAACAGTGGTATTATATTTTCTATGTTTGTAAAGAAATAATTGCATAAATAATCCTCACTAATACACTGCATCAATAAGGTTTTTTTTTTTCTCACTGACTGACTTATTGTTTATTCTTTACCGACTTAGTAGTCATTTTGTGTAATAATAGGGTTATGTGATTTTGGGAGATAAATCACTAGTTTGTGATTACTCATTTTTAGTATGTGGAAGTATTAGAGAAATATAAAAAAGGTAGAAAATAAATTTAGAAAATATATGTATACCTATTATCAATAAGATACACTATATACAAGAAGCTGGTGAATCTTGTATGAAATGGTGACTGTCATATGAAAATGTAATTCTCTGCTTAACATACTTTCCTAGCATGCAAAGTGTAATTATTTCAAACTGAAAGTAAATAAGCAATAAAGCCTCTAATTTTTTATTTATTGACCAAGGCTTTTTTACAATATTCCAAATCAATTTGAAATTCATCTAAGAGTAAGTTTTTGAAAAGATAGTTTTAAATATATAAATTCAAGCCTATTAACACTATGAATTTATCACTAATAGAATTTGTATTTATTTTATAGGTAATTAATGTGGACCTGACTCATATTGAAAATAGAATTGGTGACATCGTTAAATCAGAAAAACATGTTCAGCTAGTGTTGGGACAATTGATAGATGAGTAAGTGTAATACTTAAGATCATTTTGTCATTACTTTATTGTTCAAATTAGAATAGTTGTAGCCGTGTCACCATTTTATTTAGAACTCTTATAAAGCTGATCTTTACTATACAGATCATTGTACTTAAAAAGTAAGTGCTTAAAAGAATATACACTGAACCAAGGAAAATCTCTTCAATAAATGGTGCTGAGAAAATTGGACTGCCACATGCAAAAGAATGAAACTACACCACTATCTTCCAACATATGCTAAAATAAGCTCAAAATGGATGTAAGATCCTTACTTGGATGTAAGACCTGAAATCACAAAACACAGAGAAGAAAAGATAGGCAAAGCACTCCATAACATAAACTTCAGAAATATCTTTGTGGCCTCTCTCCAGCAGCAAGAAAAACAAAGGAAAAAATAAATAATAACTGGTTCTGCATCAGACTGAAAGCTTCTGTACAGCAAAAGGGACAGTCACCAAAACAAAATGCATCTGACAGGGGACTGATATTGAAGAGTTATGAAGAGCTCATACAAAAAGAAAAATAACCCAATCAAAAAATGGGCAGAAGAGCTAAATAGGCACTCCTCCATAGAAGACATGCAGATGGCCAACAGGCATAGGAAATTATGTTCATCATCACTTATCAGTGAAATGAGATACTACCTCACACCTTTGAGATGGCATATATATATTAAAAAAAAAAAGTGCTAAGGAGGGTGTAGAGAAAAAGGAACCCTCTTACACAGTTGGTGGGAATGTAGACTGGTCTAACCACTATGGAAAGAAGTGTGGAGAGTACTCAAAAGACTGAAAATGGATCTACCATATGACCCAGCAATTCTACTCCTAGGTATATAGCCAGAGTTCAAAAGCACTAATTCAAAAGGAAACCTGCACTTCTATGTTTATAACAACACTATTTTCAGTAGCTAAGACATGGAAACGACCTAAATGCCTCAGAAAAGATGAGTGGATCAAGAAGATAATGGTGTACACACACACACACACACACACGCACTCACGCACACACACGCGCACACACAATGGAATATTACCCAGCAGAGAGGAGAAATTCATGTCATTTGTGTAACATGGATGGAACTTGAAGGGATTATCCTAAGTGAAGTGAGCCAGAAGGAGAAAGATAAATACGAGATGGTTTCATTTATATGTGGAATACAGAGAAACCAAACAAAGGATTAGAAAAAGAGACTTTTAAAACTGATTCCTGAAAGCTGACCATAGATCTGAGGCACCAGGAGGGGAGGGGGGAAGGGAAGGGAGAAGGAGAGCTGGATGGACTATGGTGGAAAACTATGGTGACCACACCTGAGGAGAGAAAACCTGTATTATAAAAAAACAAACTAGATTGCAAAAACAATGTACGTTATTGATTAAGAAAAAGAAAAAGAGCTAAATTTTAAAAAATAAATGCTTAACTGTGTGGGCTTAACTTAATTCATGTACTTGGAAATATTTTTTTCTGTCATCTTAAATCAATACGAAACATAATATTTTTAATCTTTACTATATGATCTTCATTCTGAAAACAGATTTGTTCCAAACATACTAATGAAAAATGATTGCAGAATTTCCAGTGTTAAAAAAATGCTGACACTCATAATTTGATTAACTTTATATTAACTTTATAGTAATGAGAAAAAATAATTATCAGAATGAGTGATGGTATTCACCTATCATACCTCATTGCAACATACCTTTTGGGGCATACCTTATTGCAACAGAAATTGAACATAAAGTGGAAAATCATTACTCCTAATTATTTTTTTCTTTGACTTTTTTTTCAATATTAGGAACTATTTGGATCGGGTAGCAGAAGAGGTAAATGATAAATTGCAAGAAAGTGGTCAGATAACCATATCAGAACTATGTAAAACCTATGATCTTCCTGGAAACTTTCTGACACAGGTATTTTTTCTTGGTAATATAATGTATCTTTTTAGGGAAATAAACATAGAATTCTAATGGGAGGAGAAGACTGGACTTTTTCTTATTGTGGGTTTTTTTTTTTTTTTTTTTGGCAAGTGTTTGTGACTATTAATGTTGTAGAATAATATTTGGGAGTTAATTCTTAATACATTGATGGCTATGATAAGATCATTTATGGAATCTTCTGGTCTATAGTAAGATGTGTTACCCATTGTACACTATGGTATACATATAGTATACCACATAGTATACCATATAGTATACCATAGTGCATAGGCTTATATAATGGAAGGATTCAAGTTACCTATATCTAGAATATTGACTAATCATTTTTATTTAACATTAGAAATATAACCCTTATAAGCAAGAGCACTGTCTTTCAAAGTACCAGCAATTTGACTCATTCATTTCTTGGTTCTGACATGAGATTATAGATTCCTGGATCCTAAATCTTTGTTTTAGCTCATATAGCTTGTGAATTTATAATGTGAATATTAAAATTCCTCCATCACATTTCTCAGTACATCATCATGACACAACAGCAGCATGACTTTGAAGAATATTCAAATATAAATACAGGTATAGTTTTGTTCTTTCAAATTAATAAAAATTTGCATCTTTATCCCCAGGCACTAACTCAGCGACTAGGTAGAATTATTAATGGACACATTGATCTTGATAACAGAGGAGTAATTTTTACTGAAGCTTTTGTAGCTCGACATAAAGCACGTATCCGTGGGCTATTCAGTGCCATCACCCGGTAAGCATGTTTCAAAAGTATATATTTTTACAATTTTTGGTCATGGTTAGCATTTCCTTTCCTAACAGCTGAATCTTGTTTTAGCATAATCTCATTCAGGACTCTTAATGAATTTCTGTGAAACAGGAGCTCCAGAAAGTAGTCACATTCTCTTCACATCTCCTTCACCTCCCTCCCTGTACCATACTTTGTGGCTGCAAATGCACTTCTGCAGAATACCCAAATCAATATATAATGTCACCCTGTGATCATGTAAAGAACATGTAGTTTAAAGTCAGAAGAAGCCTTTAGGTCATAGAACTGTGATGTAATAACCATGTAACCTTGAGCAGATTAATCAATCATGAGTTTCCTTACCTCAGATGTGACTGGATGATTTTAGGACCCTTTTTACTAAATACACTGTACAAACGTTCTAGTGACTAACAGTGTTACTTTCAAGATCACTTTAACTTTCCTGAAATAAGAATTACTAATGTGTTTAAATCTATGTGTGGAATTAAGAAAACCTGCATTCTCATTTGCCCTCTCTCCTGTGTCATTGACTTTATCTCAGTGATTTTGTGTCCTACCATGCTTTTATATATATCCTAATTTCTCTCATTTTACAGCAAACCTTCTGAACCCCATAGTCTATTCCATATACCATCCTGTTTGTTCCTTTCTTTAGACTGTCCTTTCAAGAGTTTATGTCTACATTTATTATCTGAGTTTTCTTAACTTCTCAATTAACCCATCTGGGTTTTACCACTTATCATGAAATCTAGTAGATACTGCCTATCGTAGTTTACTTTGCAGCAGTACTTAACTACAGTTATTTCTTTCTTTTTGAAATGTTACCTTTTTTTTTTAAGACACCACACTTTACAGTTCTCTTTTTATATCTTTTTTCTAAGTCGCCTATTCTAGATCTTCCTCATTTCCCTAACCTTTCAAATTTTATTTCAGACCTTCTTTTCTTCTCAGTCCAGCACTATCTTCTTGAGTAATTTTACCTATTAAAATTCAGTCTCATACTAACTACTTAGCATCGCTACTAAAATGTTTTACAAGTACCTCAAGTTCAACATATTTAAAATAAATTATTATCCCTGAACCAACCTGCTCTACACTGCAGCTGAATTTATTCTTCCACTTGTGTTTCTACTACCAATAAATGTTACCATCTTGTTTGTTTTTTTTTCGAGAAACCCGGCATCATGCTTTTATAACCTTTCTCTTTCCTCCCCCACTCCCATTTCCAGAACCCAAAATCTTTTGAATTCCATATTCTAAATATATAGGTATTCTTTACTTCTCTGATATCACCATTCCTACCACGGGTCCATTTTTCACCAGGATTATTTTATTAACTTTCTAACCATCTCACTATGCTTGCTTACTACATTTCAGGAACTATTTTTTATTGCAGCCATAGTGGGTTTTTTAATAACTTTCATATATTTTTTACATCATTTTTCATTTTTGCACAATGTATGCATTTGCAGCCATAGTGATTTTTTTATTGAGCATCTAATGCAGGCAAGACTCTGGTGTAGTAAAAACTAGATTAGAAAGGAGAGCTTGCAATGTAATGCAACAAATGACTGACATAACATCCCATTATCACAAATACTTTAGTCTGTATGTCCAACAAACAAAGACATTTATCTTATATAATACAAACATCTAATCATCCAGTGCTACCACCCAGTTCTCAGATCCCACTCACATTTCACCAGTTGTTGCCGTAACATCCATAAGAATCAAGGATCCTGATGAGAATAATATACTGCATTTAATTGTCATATCTCCTTAGTCACTTTCAACCTGCACACTTAACTTGATCTTTCCTTGACTTTCATGACCTTGACACTTGAATATTACAAATAGTTATTTTGTAGAATATTCTGTTTTGCTTATCTCTCATTTATGTTCCAGCTTTCTTCCCTATGTGAAGGCCCTCCTTACCCCACATAGACTTTGAAAGCTGTACCAATCACCCACTAATACAAAAAATGCTCACAGTTGATTGTTGGAGAGCAACTAGGTAACTGAGTGATAGGAGTAGAGGGGAAAGTATTCCTGCAACTTTTTTGTACCCTCTGCATTTATTACTTAGTAAATAATTCTAAAAATAATTTTTCCTGTCCTTTTTTCTTTGAGTAATTATTGTTGAAAGTATAGTTATCATCAGATGCAGCAAACATATTTTTCTGACTCATGGTAGCCCTGAGTTTTTCTGTATGGAGATATTATCAAGCCATGAAAGAAAAAGAATATTTGAGCCTCACAAGATGTTGCAAGGCTATGTGGTAAAGAGTGTTCCCTTTATGTACCATATCTTCATATTTGCCCCTTAAATATAAGGAATCACCTTACTTTTCTGGTCTTATCTTGAGAAAAACACCTGCATCTCTGATTAAATAAAATGAATTTATGTTGTTGTTATAGGATACTAGAAAGAAAGCAATAAATATGTAGAAGTGAGATATGTAGGTATATCAAACTATGTTGTATTACAAATTGAAATAAAAATGCAGCAGCTAAAGTTTCATTGTACAAAAAAAGCTAGAAATTTTGTGCAATACAAAGCAACATTTATTGAACACCCACAGTATTATTTACCCAGAAATTTTAAGATACAGTCTTTTAAGGAGCCCTCTGTATTTTTGTAGAGATGTGCTCAGGTAAAATGGAACAGAAAACACACAAAAAAATAAAACATGGAAGGTTGTACTAATTATAAACAAGGGAGAGCAAACTTCACACAGCTCCTTAGTGAACATAATCGGTTTGGGGAACCAGTAATTTAGTTGAAAGACTTGGATAAAAAATTTAGTAAAAAAAAGAATTGATTCACATAAGGATTTAGTGAAAGTAATAATTTAGTGAAAAATTCCCTTTATTTTCAACTGCTCTCCCAACTTTATCATAAAGAAAATTTATGACACTTTAATTAATAATAGGGAGTTAAGTAGTTGTAATAACATAATAGTCTCTTAATTATATAGTTAAAAATAAAAAACAGACTAATAAACCTAGGTCAGCAAACAGGCATAATGACTTAAAATGTATTGGGAAAAAAATTATAGCTAGGGAAAATGTCTAGATCCTGTTCTTTATGGTTTCCTTAAAAAAAAAGTTATAATTCCTATACAAGGGATCTACCCAAAAGAAATGCAAATGTATGTTCACAAAAAGACATGCACACAAGTACTCATAGCAAGTGGCACTATTGTTTTTATGTATAAAATTGGTTTGATTTATGATCTGTAAATTACACCTTATTAAAGCAGCTAAAATAAATGCTAGTCATTACAGAAAATACTAATAAACAAAAGAGAACATTTTAAATGTATTCCCCCCAGTCATCCACCTGGGAATATATCATTTTAGATTCCATATATGTATATCATATATGAATGTAAATACACATACTGTTATTTTCCTATGACATTCTCTTGACTATTTCCTAGTAGAGAAAGAAACTTCAGGACAGTAAGAACAGAATTAAGAAATCAAGCACACAAAAAAAGGGCAAGACAGACAATAAGGTCACTAAATCTGAGATGAAAATTTGATGGGAAGGTAAACTGTTTCTGGACTGAGAAGACATACCAATTTCTTGCTATTTCAGTAGTATAATTCTGGTTAAGGATGTAAAATTTGGTGGGTTTTGCCTACATTTTTTTTCTTTTAAATTATTTGATGTTTTACATTAATTATCCTAGTTCCTTTAATTTTAAACATGTGTACCTCTATAATAAGAAACTTTTGTGTTTTTCTTTCCATAAAGGCCTACAGCTGTGAATTCCTTGATTGCAAAATATGGATTTCAGGAACAGCTTCTTTACTGTGAGTTTGGTTTAAATCATATCAACTGATGGCTGAATATTGGTATTGTAAAACTCACCATTTTAGGGCTTAGGCTATGTTTGCCTTCTCTTCCCAACCAGAAATGCCATGTAATTTAGAACATGACAGAATGGAAAACTCACCAGTCACCAAACTTATATTATTGCCTCATCTAATCTTAAAACTTAATGTAACTAAAATATTTATGGTTGAAATAGGTTCTCTATACCAGTTTCCATTATCTGTTTATCTTTCACATCCTCTAAACATTTAATACTGACTACACCCTGCCCCAGGAAGGGAATGAAAAAAATACTATATCTTATCTGCTTTTTAATATTTATACCTGCTAATTTATTTCTATTTATTTGGTTTTGTTTTAAGCTGTACTTGAAGAACTTGTTAATAATGGACGCATACGAGGCACTGTGCTTGGTGGGAGGCAGGATAAGGCAGTGTTTGTCCCTGACATCTACTCCAGAACACAAAATACCTGGGTGGATTCCTTTTTCAGGCAGAATGGCTACCTGGGTAACTAATTCTTTTTTTTTTTTTTTTTTTAAGATTTATTTTATTTATTTCTGCATACAAGAACTGGGATGTAGGCCAGAGGGTGTGTGTGTGGGGGGGAGGCAGGTAGGGGGGTAGTGAGAAGATTCACCAGAGACAAGAGTGGGGAGCAGAACAGGCAGATCTATTGAAATACACTCCTGAGGAGAGCAGTGGTAAGACAGGAGAGGTCTGCTGCACCATGTGGGTCAGCTCCCTGGCCAGGCATCAAACTCATGCTGCAGTGGCTGCCAGTAACCTGATAGTGCTGGGACTTAACTCCTGGCACCACCAGGGAGAGCCGCATTTTTTTTTTTAAACCAAAACTTCTTTTTAATAATAAACATATTAATAAAAGTGTTTTTACTAGCCCTGAGACTACACACATACTTTATTCTTGGCCAGAGCTTACGGTTCTGTCTGAATATAAAAGTAGTCACACTGCAGCTTGTTGTGGGCCTTGGAATCAAGTTTAACTCCATAGTGAATGAACAGGTTTAATATAAAAAACTGAAAACTGATGTTCATTATTACTAAACTTCCAGTAATATAATTATACTATGCAACTTCAAATATTTTTAATTCATAAAAAAATTAAGTTTAGTCTATCTTATTTTATAAAGTTGTTCAGTTTTTCAGTTACATCATCCTGAAATATTTTATTACCTTACAAATTCATTTTTATTAGGTATCTAACAATTCAGATATATTGGAATTATTCTAAATTCTGTGTCTAAATTTCTGAGTAAGTCCTTTGAATAAAGTAGTTTGATTTAATTCAATCATTGATATTATTAGCAAATACATATAGATATATGTAGCTCACTTACTGATCAATTTCCAAGTTAAACCATGGAAGAAATTAGTTGTTTTCTCAATAATAAATCTATAACATATTATTAGTTCTCAAACAGTTTAAGTTAATACTAGGATACTGGGCTTTGCTTGTGTTTTCTTGAATTTCTATAAAGTACTTTTGAGTTTCTTCAACCATGGACTTGGATTGGAACCTTCTTATAATTATTATCCTTAAATATGATTACTTGTGAATGGAGAGAGTAAGGTATAATCTCCAAAATGTTAATGGTTATAAGCTTATGTCTTATTTTCTACTTGTGTTTTTTGTGCTAAATGTTTTACTAATTTAAGTAAGAATGGATACTTACATTTTGTCGTAAGTTGGCTGAAAAAAAATTTGAAAAATAGATTCCATTCCTTTAATATAATTGATTCCAATTTGTATTTCTTTATTTGAATTGTTACCTTCCCAATCGCCTACTTATACTTTTATTGCTCTGTAGTTCTCATGTTTACTTTTGACCCTTCAATTGAAGAAGTACTGAAACAACTGGAATTGAAATGCTTGAACCACTTTTTCTATAGATGTTTAGTGACAAAAGCATGGGAAGTTAACACAGTGAGGGAATAGACTGTTACATTTCTATGTTTTATTCTTTTAAAAATATTAGTATACATTGCATAAGGTGTGAATGATTGACAGTTCTATTCCAACTTTGTGTTGTACTTCCAGAATTTGATGCCTTATCCAGACTTGGAATCCCAGATGCTGTGAGCTACATAAAGAAAAGATATAAGACTACACAACTTTTGTTTTTGAAAGCAGCCTGTGTTGGTCAAGGACTTGTGGATCAAGTGGAAGCATCAGTAGAGGAAGCCATCAGCTCTGGAACATGGGTTGATATTGCAGTATGTTTTATCCTCTTAATTTTTCTTTAAACCAGGGTTAACTGTTATTTCACTAGTATATGCCAATTTTAAGAATTAAGATACATAAATATAATCTTGGGTTTAGAGGCAAATTTTAGCAGTCATTGGTGTAATAACAATAGTCTTAATATTTTATGATTAAAGATTTTTATATATGGGTGAACAACATCCAGAATTTAATAAATCTCAAAACAAATAACAAACAATATAACGTCATATGAATACTGCCATACAGAAATTGATATTTCTCACAATTTTATCCAAGTATTTACAGCTTTACTAGCATCAAGTTTCATGTAGCATTTGTTTACCCTATAGTAAATTAATCTCTGCCAGTGTATTAACACAAGCTGCTTTAGCTGTGATAGTATTTTATTTCAGTGTTCAATGATGACCTGCCTTAATTATGCCAAAGATAAACAGTAAGTGAAGAGAGAAACAAGACACCAATCCATTTACTGGTCAGAACTCAGACTCCCTTTATAAAGCAGAAAATTCCTTATTTTGGATACCCAAGTTCCCAAAGTTTCCACATACAAATATTTATTAAGCAAATTTATATATATATATATATATTTTTTTTTTTTTTACATTTTTCATTTTTGCACAGTGAATGCATTTTCATCTTGGTTATAGTCCCCATACAATTCCTACCCCCCTTATTTTGACCATAATCCTTCTCCCCTACCCCCCACCCTCTGAAGTGTGTCTCTCATCTATAGTTGCTTGTCGATTTTGATTTTTACTTTATTATAATTAGTCTTTTTCCTGGTCCCTTATTTAGGTTTTCTAAATTCCTGCTATGAGTGAGACCATCCAGTATTTTTCTTTTTCTTTCTGGCTTATTTTGCTGAGCATGATCCCTTCCAGCTCCATCCATGTTGCTGCAAATTGCATGAGTTTATCTTTTTTGATTGCTGAGTAATATTCTATTGTGTATATGTACCACATCTTCTTGATCCAATCATCTATTTTGGGGCATTTGGGTTATTTCCATAGCTTAGATATTGTAAATAGTGCTGCTATAAACATAGGGGTGCAGGTGCCCTTTTGAATTAATGATTCCATGTCCTTTGGGTAAATAGCTAGGAGTGGGATTGCTGGATCATATGGAAGCTCCATCTTTAGCAGGTTGAGGAATCTCCACACAGCTTTCCATAGTGGTTGGACCAGTTTGCACTCCCACCAGCAGTGCAGGAGAGTTCCTTTTTTCTCCACATCCTCGCCAACATTTGTTGTTGCTAGTTTTTTTAAGTATGTGCCATTCTCACTGGTGTAAGATGGTATCTCATTGTAGTTTTGATTTGCATTTCCCTGATTACAAGTGATGCTGAACATTTTTTCATATGCCTGTTGGCCATTTGCATTTCCTCTTCAGAGAAGCTACTTTTTAGCTCTTCTGCCCATTTTTTGACTGGATTATTTACTTTGTTTTTGTTGAGACTCTTCAGCTCTTCGTAGATTTTTGTGATCAATCCTTTATCATTAGTGTTGTGTGCAAAAATGTTCTCCCAGTCAGTGGGGTGTGTTTGTTTTGGTTACTCTCTCTTTTGGTATCCAGAAGCTCTTTAATTTGATGTAATCCCAGCTGTTTATCTTTGCCTTCGCTATCACTGCTTTGGGTGATGAGTCTTTAAAGATGCTACTGAGGTGTATGTCATGTAGTATTTCACCTATATTTTCCTTCTATATATTTTATGGTTTCAGGTCTTATGTCTAGTTCTTTAATCCATTTTGAGTTGAATTTTGTGCATGGTATGAGGTAGTAGTCAAGTTTCATTCTTTTGCATGTAGCAACCCAGTTCTCCCAGCACCATATATTGAACAAATTTTCTTTGCTCCAATGCATATTCTTTGCTCCTTTGTCAAAGATTAGTTGACTGTAAATCTGTGGGTTTATTTCTGGATTTTCTATTCAGTTCCATTGATCCATAGTGTCTGTTCTTGTTCCAATACCATGCAGTTTTGATTATATGGCTTTGTAGTATAGTTTGAAGTCTGGGAGTGTGATGCCTCCATTCCCTTCTTTTATATTTCAGGAGAGCTTGGCTATTTGGGGTTTTTGGTGGCTCCATATGAACTTCATCAATATTTGTTCTATTTCTTTTGAAGAATGTCATTGAAATTTTTATTGGAATAGCATAGAATCTGTAAATTGCTTTTGGTAGGATGGCCATTTTGATGTTAATTCTTTTAATCCATGAGCAGGGGATGTCTTTCCATTTCTTTGTGTCTTCTTCTATCTTCTATTTAAGTGTTTTATAGTTTTCTTTGTATAGGTCCTTTACCTCTTTTGTTAGGTTTATTCCCAAGTATTTGATTTTTTTTGGTTTCAATAATAAAAGGGATGGTTTTCTTGATTTCTTCTTCAGATTTATTGTTTGTGTATAGGAAGCCTACTGATTTTTGTGTGTTGATTTTGTATCCTACTTTACTAAACTGATTGATTAGTTTGATTAGTTTTTCTGTGGTGTTTTGGGGGTTCTCTATGTATATTATCATATCATCTGCGAATAGTGATAATTTGACTTCTTCCTTCCCTATTTGGATTCCTTGTATGTCCTTCTTTTGTCTTATTGCTCTGGCTAGGACTTCCAGTATTATATTGAAAAGCAGTGGTGAGAGTGGACATCCTTGTCTTGTTCCAGATCTTAATGGAAATGCTTTCAACTTTTCACCATTGAGAATGATATTGGCTATGGGCTTGTCATATATTGCCTTTATGATATTGAGGTATGTTCCTTGTATCCCAAGAATTTCAAGGGCCTTTATCATAAATGGGTGTTGTACTTTGTCAAAAGCTTTCTCAGCATATTGATATTATCATATGGTTTTTATATTTCTTTTTGTTGATGTGCTGGATTACATTGATTGATTTTCTGATGTTGAACCATCCTTGTATTCCTGGAATAAATCCTACTTGGTCGTGGTGAATTATCTCATGGATACATTGTTGGATTCTGATAGCTAAAATTTTATTGAGGATTTTTGCGTCAGTGTTTATTAGAGAAATTGGCATGTAGTTTTCTTTTTTGTGTGTTGTCCTTGTTTGGTTTTGGTATTAGTGTAATGTTGGCTTTATAGAACATGTTTGGTATTTTCCCTTCCTTCTCAATTTTTGAAAGAGTTTATGTTTTGAAGGATAGGCACTGATTCATTTCTGAATGTTTGGTAGAATTCATTTGTAAATCCATCTGGTCCTGGGCTTTTGTTTTTGGGGAGGGTTTTGTTTACCATTTCAATTTCACTGCTTGTAATTGGTCTGTTTAGGTGTTCTATTTCTTCTTTATCTAGCTTTGGGTGATCGTAGAGTTGTAGGAATTTGTCCATCTCTTCTAGATTGGTGAACTTGTTTGCATATAACTGTTCATAGTAGTTTCTGATTATTCTTTTGATTTCTGCTGTGTCTGTTGTGATTTCTCTTTCATTTGTGAACCTATTTATTTGTGCTTTCTCCCTTTTTCCCTTTGTGAGCCTGGCTAGGGGTTTGTCTATTTTATTTATTTTTTTGAAGAACCAACTTTTGGTTTCGTTGATTGATATTTTGGATTTTTTTTTTTAGTTTCTGTTTCATTTATTTCTGCTTCGATTTTTATTATTTCCTTCTACTGGTTTTAGGGTTTTTTGTTGTTCTTTTTCTAGTTCTTTGAGATATGAGATTAAGTTGTTTCTTTGAGTTCTTTCTTGTTTTTTGATGTGAGCCTGTATTGGTATATATTTTCCTCTTATTACTGCTTATTAAGCAAATTTTAAGTAAGTACCTTCTTTATGCCAGGTACCATTCTACTATTGTGAGATATATTACAGTAGTAATTGTGAGTATCCAATCTACTATTGTGTGGTATCATGCTCTTAAGAGATAAGTTTCCTGCTCTTAAGAAGGATACTTTAATTGGGGAGAGATAGTTAAAAAAAAAATAAGATAATTTCAGACAGTAGTACTAAGAAGAAACATATCTTGGATGTAAAGTCATCAGAACTTGCTGGTGTATATTGTTGTGGGTCTGTGAGAATGAAAAACTGGGTGTGACTTGTCGAATTGGGGCCTGGTCAACTGAATGGAGAGTGGTACCAATTACCGAAGTAGAGGGATTGATGAAAGAAGAGTGGGTGAGAGCTTGGGGTGTAGGAGTCAAGACATTGGAAGTCAGTGTTGGTTTGGACATGTTAAATTTGAGATGCCTATTGGGCATATGAGTAAGGAGATTAGAGAATCAATAGGATTTGTGATTCCAGAGTTAAGAGTTATGATGAAAGCAGAAATATAATTTGGAGGTTATCAGCATGAAGAAGGCATTTAGGAAAGATCGCTTAGGGTGAGCAAATATGTAACAGATGACATGTCTGTATTATATTGTATTTATGCTTTGTTTTCATTTTGTTTTTAATTCTAGCCTCTACTACCCAGTTCTTTATCAGTTGAAGATGCTGCAATGTTACTTCAACAGGTGATGAGAGCATTCAGCAAACAGGCATCAGCTGTAGTCTTTAGCGACACTGTTGTAGTCAGTGAAAAATTTATAAATGACTGTACAGAACTGTTTAATGAACTGATGCACCAAAAAGCTGAAAAGGTATGCTAATTGCTTTAATCTATTAATCTTAACAGTATTTTCACATTTGTATCTGGTATTTTTGAAAAATAGGAAAAGTAGTGTACCCCAAAATAGATATTGTGTTTCATATATCATTTTCCCCTAATGTGTCATATTCATGCCTTCACATTCCTATCAGGACATATGAATTAGAACTTGGGAAACCTGTTTTATGAATTCAAATCATATATAAGTGAAATTATATGCTTCACAGTTAACTCACTGTCAGGTACTCAACAATACTCTCACAGAACAGTGTCTGTGTATTATATGCATAGGTGTACAATATATTGGTCAATCAATACACTAAATATTCACAAATTCTAGCAGAGCAAAGCCTTGTTATTTTACCTTTTGGGGGTGAACAAGTAGGATAACTTACTGAGGAAATAAATTGTTACTATCAAAACTGATTACTTTCTCAGAGCAACTGCTATCAAAGTGTTGAGAAGTAAAGGTCATATCAGATCGACTTTATGACTGCTCATGTTTCTAGTTAGGATCATCTACATATAAAGTCTGCTGATCACAAATAGGTACAACAAGCCCATTTATCTTACACTGTAGTAAATTCATAGGCATTTATTAAATATGGAAATAATTTGCATTTATCTATATTTCTTTTAGCTCTTTAATAGTCTAAAAAAATGAGATCATTTTCTACATGTGACTTGTTAAGTAGAGAATAGTAAAAAGAACAGAAGATTAATATCAATAAACCTGAGTTTTAATTTCAACTTATTTACTCTCTGACTTTGGACAAATAGATCTCAATATTCTCATCTTCAAAGAAAGGATACTATAAATAAAGGAGGGATATATATCATTGTTTGGTACCTGCTAGCTACCAGTTACTAAATTTTATTTTTGTTTTATGACGTGTTAGCAAAATAAAACTTAAAATGCTCATTAATGTTTTCCTCTTATGCTCCTTCCTCTGGCCACAATTAGAAATTCAGAAAAAAATGGTGATTTTATTGTTTGAACTGTCAACATTTTTTCATCAGAAAACCTAAAGGGAAATATCCTTTTTTAATTTATTTTTTTCCTTAAAATGTTCCTTTTTGTGCAATATTCCATTACTCCCCTCAGGGCTAGTCCCCTATAGTTCTACCACCATAGCACCCGTGAACCATCTCCAGTGTCCCTTGTACGCTTTCTTCCCCTGTTTTGATTCTTCTCCCTTCCTCTCCCCTGCTGTATGCCTCAGATCTATGGTCAGTTTGCAAGTTTTGTCTTTTTCCTGACCCTTTGGTTTCTCTCTATTCCACATATAAATGAAACCATCCAATATTTCTCTTTTTCCTTCTAAATAATTTCGCTTAGCATAATTCTTTCCAGCTCCATCATGTTGCTGCAAATGACATCAGTTTATCACTGACTAGTGTTCCACTGTGTATATATACCACATCATCTTGATCCATTCATCTATTTTGAGGCATTTAGGTTGTTACAATATCTTAGCTATTTCCTTTCACATTAGTGTTTTTGTGTCCTTTGGGCAGATTCCTAGGAGAGGAATCACTGAATCATATGGTAATCCATTTTTAGTGTTTTGAGGAGTCTCCACACAGCTTTCCATAGTGGCTGGTCCAGATTGCATTCCCACCGTGAACAAGTATAAGAGGGTTCCTATTTCTCCACATCCTTGCCAGCATTTGTTATTCCCAGTTTTTTGGTTTTTTTTAAATATGTGCCATTCCCACCGGTATTAAGGTGGTATCTCATTGTGGTTTTGATATGCATTTACCTGATAATAAGTGATGTTGAACATCTTTCACATGCCTGTTTGCCATTTGGATTTCTTCTTTGGAGAAGTGTCTTTTTACTTCTCTGCCCATTTTTTGACTGAGTCATTTGCTTTGCATGTGAGTTGTGTAAGCTGTTTGTAGATATCATAACAATGAAAATGTGCTTTTTCATTGTACAGGTTTACAATGCTTTCCCATTATAAGGAACCAGTTCTTGAACTTAGGAATAGTCTGTTGTTCTTAACAAAAATTTTAAAAAGCAGAGACCAAGATTGAAACAAGAAGGGAAAAAAACATTTATATGACTAAATGTATAATTCATATCCAATCATTTTGATCGGCTGGTAATTGTATATTTTCTTACCTTTCTAGTAATCTCAGGTATCCAAGTAAAACTGGACTTTGGAGTTTCTGAAAGAGAGAGAGTCAATAAGCAATGGTGAAATCAACCAAAAAACTGGTGGAAAGATCTATATCTGATATTATGTGATCTGGATTTCTTATTAGCTGATAATAAATACATAAGCCAAGAACAGCAAGAAAAGAGACTGATTTTCTATAAGGAGAAATAGTATCAGAATCAGAAACAACAATTGTGAAACAAAACTCCATAGCTCTTCTTAATAATGAAACCAAACAAGAATAATTAGGATATAACTTGTAAAAACAACCTTTATTTTCTACTTTTGTAGTATTATGTTTTTTGCCTTCAAAAAAAAAAAATGTTTTATTTTAGGAAATGAAAAATAATCCTGTCCATTTAATCACTGAAGAAGATCTAAAACAAGTCTCCATGTTGGAAGGCATTAATACAAATAAAAAGGATAAAAAGGATGAACGAAGGAGGAAAGCAACAGGTAATAATTATTAACAAAGAAGTTTTTAGGTTTGCAGTGAGCTTTACATTCATTAGGCCCTAAAGACCCTTTATTTTGGTTGATTCATCTTTAGCTGCTAATATTAATCAGTTCTTTTTTTTTTAATAAGTTGAATTTTAACTATGAAAATGGAAATATTGGTAATTCCTTACTTTATAATTTATGTTTTGAAAATCAAGTCAATTTTATGATCTAGCCCATCTCCTGTTGTTCTTTCCTTACCTCTGTTCCAGCCACATTCACCTCAGGGTCTTTGCACTAGCTGTGCCCTCTACCTGGCATGTTCTCTCCCAAACTTCAATTTCCTGGTTTCTTCTTGTCATTGAGAGCTCAACTTTAAATGTCAGTTCCTCAGAGAGTCCTCCCTAACCAACCAGAATAGTAGACATAGTCATTGTTCATTATATTATCTTCCCAGTGTTTTCCCATCACTGTTAGTTATCACTGTGGTGTATTTTATTGTTTGGGAACCTTGTCCATCTCATTTACTATTGTTTTCCTAGTGTTTAGAGCACACGAGCATATTTTAGTGCTCTGTAAATGTTAATTATGTGAATGCATTTCCCAAGGAGATATTATTTGTTTTAATATCTATTTTTAATTAAGAGTCATTGGGCATTTTTCAAGGTAGCACTGGTATACTAATCACTTGCATTTGGAAGATAATATGTATTTTCCATACTTTCTATGGTAGGAATAATTTCACTTGCGCTGCATAAAGGCTAAGAGCTTAGATAATTCAACTCCTTTTACTAATAAATGCAGCAATATTGAACATGTATTATAAAAACCTAATTTTCATTTGCTATGGGAATTTATTTCTCTTTGAGATTGTTTCTTTGCTTTTCAAAAATCTTTCAGTGGTATTTTGGAGTTTCTATTCTTGAAAAGCTATAGTAAATTAGTCAATAAATCACAAACTCACAACCATGCATGTTATCATATTACTTGGAGATATACTATAATTAATTGGTTGTACTTATGTAAGTATATGTTTTTGTTTTATTTTCTTCTAAAAACTGTCATCTGGTGGTCTGATAGTGATAGTCCTGTAATGTAATAGTTAAACTACATTGTATGGAATAATGTCTTAACATGAAAGTCTTCCCACAAGAAACTTGCTATGAAATGTAAAAAATACATTCACTTTAGGCTTGTACTTTTGAACATGGTATTTTTCAATAAGAAAAGCAAGCACAAAATAATGGAAACTTTCATTAATATGATGATATCTAAGGGAATTCTACTTTGAATTTAGAAAAAGATCTTTAGTTTAAATAAATCATTTTATTTCATGACATTGTATCTTTTATAATGAAATATAGGTTCCATAGGTTTCAACCCTGTTAATAAGTATTCTCTTTTTTTGAATATTTTAAATGTAAATATCTAATAGAGACATGATTCTGCTCTCAAGAAGTTCGTGGTCTGAATGAAGTGGTGGATGAGTTAGGATGTCTCTATAAACATGGGTGGTAGTCTTTCAACCAAGAAGACAAAACTGAGTATAATTAAATTTGTGAAGTATTGTAATGGGGGATATTAATGAGACTGTGGTAACAGAGAAAAAGAAAATAAGGGCAAATTTATTTTAGGGACGATAGAAAAGGAGATACTGGAATAGGCTTGATCAAGAAAATTTTAGACAGACTTATAGAAAAAGCTGAAAGAAAAGAAGTGACATTGGAGACTGGGGAAGAGAATACATTTAGAAAGGTGGGTTACCTGAGATGCTCAAATTCAAGAGATTTCATATTTTATTATTTATTGCATTTCATCGGTTGAATTTGCAAAACTTTTGGTCAGTAATTAAACGTTTCTGTAATTATTTGACTTTTATTTTCAACTGTAAAGCTAAATATGACAAAATAATGTTAGCATTTTCTAAAAACACTAATTTAGTTAAGTAAAACTAATGTCATTTTTCCACCAGAGGGCAGTGGAAGCGTAAGAGGAGGAGGTGGTGGCAATGCCAGAGAGTACAAAATTAAGAAAACCAAGAAGAAAGGAAGAAAAGATGATGATAGTGATGATGAGTCATCTCACTCAGGTATGTAGCTTTATTTTTTTCTTTCTTTATACATGCATGATTTTTTTTTTTTAACATTTTTCTTAAGATGCATGCAATTAGGTGTATATGCTTATACAGGAAATCTTGGCACAGTTTCAGTAAGCATAAATTTCAGTTACCACACTTTAGTTAAATGTCAGCAGCCCCTCCACCAACACAGTTCCTATTTCATTTACCAGGGTATATTAACTATGAGTGATTGCATTGAATAGAAACCTCACTGGTAGCTCCTCACTCCACAAATTGACACATAAATAACAGATGTGCACTATTATCCATGACAATCACATCACTTATTTCAAAGTTTGTCAGTGATTGATCATGGTGCATCTATTACTCACTTTATACTTAGACAACAAGGCATATGGTTGTATTGCTTTCTTATCTTGCAGTGATAAAAACACAGACTTTACAATCAGAAGAGAGTATTTGCCAGCAAAGATAAAGTGCTGCAAGAAAGTGAAAAATGATAACACTGCAAAGTAAAATAGTAGTCAAGAATAAAAGGAGTTTTAACCAATATAACAATATGGGAATGTTAACATTGCCTCTATTAAAAAGACTAGCTATGTAACCAGAGGAACATAGTAAAGGCACACTACTGACATAAGTTAGAAAAGTGGTTGTGACAAAAAGAATGAAAATATCTTAAAGATGTCAAGGTGGCAAAAAGCTTCCTGTTAAAAGAATTTTGAGATGTTTTACAGCATTGAAAGGGCAAAGAATAAAATGTTGAAAAGTGATCCAGAGTTTCAAATGAAGTATGAAGACTTATCAAGGCAAAAGAAAGATATTTATTTTATATTGTTAAGTTACAGATAAGAAAAGAACAAATACAATTCAAACTGTTCTTGATAAAGTTTTTTGGAAAGAAATAAAATGTTTTCATTCTCAAAGATGAGTTGTATTTCCTTATACATTCATAACCAAGAATGAGAGCTTTAAATGTTTACATAAACATTATTAAAATGTTATAGAGTAATTATAAAATTCCCCATTAAGCACAATTTCAGCTGGCCAAGTCATTTTTATGTCTCCCAGTGCTATACAAAACAATTTGCAATATTTTATGAAAAGTTAATTTCTGCATATTTAAGTAGGAAATACTCATTTTGTGCTTGTTTAATTGTTATGGTAACACTGAGTTGGTTAATTGTTTCTATCTAATGGGAAGAATTTACCATATGCATTCTTTCTTTTCTAGACTTGTTAGTGTTTGGTGTGGTTAAATCAGCAAGAGACATCTATCTTTGTTTTTCTAAAGAAAATTATCTTTTGTTTTTCTGTTTAAGAAAATTAACTTAATGAAACCATGATAACCCCTCTTCTCCTTTTACCCAGCCAAACAAAATTGAAGTAGCAGTTTGAGATTTTATTTTTTCTAGTCCCCAAAGTTCATTATATATGGATTTAGAGCTAGCAGATATTGATATTAAATGACGTGATTTCATCTGTCAATGTGCTACTAGTTGTACACATTACAAGTATAATACACAATTGTTTAAGATATGTATTTTATTCTAAGTTAAGTAAAATTATCTCTTGTTATCTACATGCATAAGGGAATATTAATTAAGGCAAGTATCTTCATAGAATCTACTTTCTTTACCCTTATTTTAAATATTAGGAATATCTTTTGTGGATTTTACTTTTATATTTTTTTTATTTGTTTATGTGTACAAGAACTGGGGTGTAGGCCAGAAGTATGGGGGCTGAGAGGATTCACCAGAGACAGAGTGGGGAGCAGAACAGGCAGATTGACTGAAATACACTGCTGAATGGAGCAGCGGGCAAGGCAGGAAAGGTCTGCTGTGCCATATGGGTTAGCTCACTTGCAGGGGATTGAATTCATGTTGCAGTGGCTGCTAATAGTTTCACAGTGCTGAGACTTAACCCCTTGCACCACTAGGGAGGCCTCTACTTTTATATTGATTAATGAATATCTTGTTCCCCAGATGTGGTAGGAGTGGGAACAAAGGGGCATTTAAGAAAATACTTCCTTAAGTAGTTGTTAAAGGAGATAATCTTTTTGTATTTAGCTGATTATGGAAAGGACTAAAAAAAGTAGTTAAACCATTCTACCTAAAAAAATGTAATTTCATTGCTTTTGAAAAAGCATTGTGTTGTAATTTCTGAAATGGGGGATGTAATTAGGTTCTCAGTGAAAATATAAGATCAACTCATGTGAGAGATTACTAAAATGAAGTATAATTTAATAACTTATAAGTGCATGCAGGAAGCAAACGGAAATCAGAAGAAACTATTTGGTGTGAAAGATCAGGATAGCAGAATTCAAGAAGAAAAGATAATACTTTATTCTAAAGCTGTGTTCACTTAGATATTGATGCATAGTGAAAATTGATTTTTGAGCTATTTTCCCTTTATTGCTAAGGTTTCACTTTTAGAGTTAACCTAATTTATCAGGAAACAATCACTTTTTTACTTTTACAATTAAGAGTGGAAATATTGTTGCCTTTCATTGTATACAATCTATAATTTTCAGGTAAATGAGTAGGAATAACATTACCATGATTAACAATTACTTCCATTACAGTAGCTGCATAGAAATTTTTCTTGTGTAGAAATTATTTTTGTGAGAGCACATCTAAATTATATGGGTAAAATTGTGAATTTTTTTAATCTATGCCTTTCTAAAGAGATAAATGTTAGCTTAGTTGTACTGGAGTTCTATTTTACTTGATTATAAAGATGTTCTGAAGATCTTATATAAATTACAAGGATGACTTGATTTTAGTAAACATTCATTTTTATAAAAAAAAGTCAACCCAGTATCCATTGTTGCTCAACAAAGTAAGATTATTCTTTCCTACAAGAGTTTTCCATTTACTTGATTGTTTTGATTTCTGTTTGCATCATCCAGATTAGATCAGAGGAAAAAGAAATCACCTTTATCATTTTTGATTGAATCAGAAAACAGTCATTATGAAATAGAATTGGAAAATTTTCACTCAAAAGAATACTACTTCATATCCAATGTTTAAAATTGTTTTCAAATAGCAATTGCTATGGCTATTTGACATTGACAATATTGTTGACAATAAAAATTACTATCAGTGTTTATGGTAAGCAACATGTTAGTATCTTAATGAACTTTCTTTGCTTTTAGGTTACTTATTTGTTTTTGCTGTTGTTTTTCACATTACTTATCTCTATTGTAGGAAAAAAGAAACCAGAGATCACTTTTATGTTCCAGGATGAGATCGAAGATTTTTTAAGAAAACGCATACAGGATGCTCCTGAGGAGTTAATTTCTGAACTTGCTGAGTATTTGATAAAGCAAGTATACAAATATATTTTTTCTGTTTTGTGACAGAAATTTAGTGAATTATTACATAAAGTTTTCACCTACATCATAGAAAACATATTTTAGGTATTTTCAAAGCTTAAATGTTCATCTAGCCCCCCAAATCCCCAGTAATGGTTGTCTACAGCAGCAGTTTAATTCAACAGTAAAGTGCTTTAGACAAGGAAGTGGGGGAGTTAAAAGGCAAGAATGTGGAGATGTCCTGGTTCATTGATCTTCCAGCCCTAGTCACTAATCACTGCTGGTGTCTTCCATAACATTAAAGGTAGCATCTAAGAGGACTATTGTTTTTTATATGGATTTGACAGTTAAGGGTACACTTTTAGGGAGAAAATAAAGTAACTACTTTCAGAGAGAAGCAATTTAGACAAACTAAATTTCTTTAAATACAAAAGTAAAAGAAGTTATATATAACTTGACCATTACTAACAAATATGATCTTTCCTAAGTTTGTCCCAATTTGTAAGTTTCTATAAATGTGACCCAGGAACCCAGTGCATTTAGAAATATAGTTTGTGAGATATTTTTAAGTGAATATATTTGGCACATAACTAATTACATAATAAAATGGGGAAAAAAAGGTGAAATTGTTAATGATAGTCATTTGCATTGCTATTTAAAATAACCTATTTAAAAAAAATTATTTCTATGGTACTTTAGAGATAGAGAATTTAAGTTATTATTCCTGAGGATGGGAAATAGACTCATAGTCTCTACTCTTCTCCAAATTACTTTAAAAAGCTGCTTTGAACTGAATTTGAATGAAGTTTTTTATTGTACCTTGTCTCTAGTGCAATAACTTTTCAGTTCTTTAAAATTGAGAAAAATGATACATTTAAGTTATGATTCCTGGAATTAGAGGGCAAAATCTGTGAACTGTTCTCCAAATTATTCTTATTGTTTAAGAAAATAGAGATATTTTCTTAAGTCTCATTTCCATAGAGGCAAAGTTTTATGGACATAAATTCAGTATATTTTAATAATCTAAACATATTTTTCTTGTGCACAGACCTCTTAATAAAACTTACCTTGAGGTGATACGTTCAGTATTCATGTCTTCAACTTCCTCTGCCTCTGGAACTGGCAGAAAGCGCACAATCAAGGACTTGCAAGAGGAGGTTTCAAACCTATACAATAATATTCGATTATTTGAAAAAGGGATAAAGTTTTTTACAGGTATGCTTAATACAATTTTTTCACTGATTATAATTGTTCTTGGACACTCATTTTAATCAAGCACTGTTATTTTCCAGATGATACACAGACAGCTCTTACCAAGCACTTGCTGAAGACAGTGTGTACTGATATCACTAACCTCATTTTCAACTTCTTAGCTTCGGATTTAATGATGGCGGTAGAAGATCCTGCAACAATTACAAGTGAAGTATGTTGTGATTTTCTTGACACTCTTGATGTTTTGTTTTGAAATCTTAGTTTGTTGGATTCTCTGACTTCTGAAATAGTCTGAATAGAAAATAAAATACAGAAAAGAGGTTTTGGAGAAAATATATATACAATTTTTAGTTTAAATTTAGTACAGTGTTTATATAATTGCTAGCAGAATTGGTAGTATAATTATTTATTAAAAATAAGGGTGCTGGGGCCTCCCCGGTGGCACAGTGGGTTGAGCACAGTGCTGTGAAGCTGTCTGTAGCCTCTGCGGTGCAAGTTCGATTCCTGGCTGGCCAGGGAGATTCCCACATGGTGAGGCACACCTCTCCTGTCTCACCCGCTGCTCCTCTCAGCAGTGCTTTCTGTCTGCCTGTTCTGCTCCCCACTCTGTCTCTGGTGAATCCTCTCACCGTCCCGCGCTTCTGGCCTGTACCCCAGCTAATATATAAATTAAAAAAATCTTTTTTTAAAAAAAAAAGGGTGCTTAGTTGTTTTGAAATCAACAATTTTACTTTTTCCTAATTATTGTTAAGTTACATCATTTTTTTCCTGCTGAGTTGCAAGTTCCTTAACAGTATTCTAGCCAGCTACTCTAACTTTGCAGTCATTTTCATTGAATGATACCATCTCATTTCAATATTAAATTCATCCCAGTTCATTTTTTACAATTCTAAATTCAAACTATTTCAAAACATAGCTTTCCTTCTTGCAATATAAGGTTGAGCTATGACTCCCCCCAGTTGGGTAGGGGAATGTGTAGTCTTACCCTGAGACTCCTCTTCCTCCTCTTCTCATTATTCTAGGTCCACTGTAGGTCAGAGCTTAGGAAACATGGAGACAAAATTGTTTTCATATGACATACACATATCATTGGCTTTGCTCTAGGACAAACCAAATCAGTATAATGGTAGTAGCCTCTGATGATGTGGCTGTTGTCACATAGGTTGCATAGGAGCTTTGGAGATTGTTTTAAGCATCATGTGACTCCCTCTTAACCTCCAGAAGGTATAGTTATTTCCCTCTCCTATCCCAGAAGGCATTGACCCCTAAGATCCCTGGCTACATGAACAATTCCATGTATCCTGCCCCTATACCAATCTTTGCTGTGAGAAATACTCAAGGCTCTGTCCTGACCTTTCAAAGGCCATAGAAGGATAAGTGTGGGATGTGGCAGGGAGGGAGTAGGCTGCCCCTGTCTTCCCAGACACACTGCTGGGCCTCTGTTGATTGTAGTAGGAATTCCAGTCCAACTACAAAATTCCAGAAATTTTGCAATAGAAGGAGCCCTGACACACAGGTCAAGAATGCAGTCAAACTTCACAAGACATATCTTTGTAAAGAAGGGTGCTAAAAAGATTCCATACATCATACAGCATAAGAAGCACCCATCCATGGAACAAGAACCCAGGCTTCTAAAATTATAGGTAACCTTAATGTTTATGAGTATGCACCCCTCCCCGCCTTACCTGAAGAGAGAAAAACACTCTTCCCCACTGGAAAAGAGAGTAGCCTTAACTCCAAATTCATTGGTATCTCTCTCTCTCTCTCACTTTTCCCACTCATTTTCTTTGGAGCAAATGAATGGGAGGAATAGGTAGGATTTCATCTACCTTCTCTGGCTAATTGAATATTGGTTTGCTCTTAGATTTTAGAATGTTTTTAGCATATTTTTATCTTAAGTTTGAGATCTAAAATTCAAAAACAGACAAATTCCACTCAGCATTCTGTTACAATATAAATATACTTTTGTTTCATATGATCTTATATCAACCACATGTCAGAAGCACAATGCCAAAAGAATTTTTATTCCTTTACAGGTAAGAAAAAAAATTTTAAGTAAATTATCAGAAGAAACTAAAGTAACTCTCACAAAACTCCATAGCTCTTTGAATGAAAAGGTAAGTAAAATTTTATTCTATTTAGAGATTGGAGCTGTAGTTTCTAAAGATTTTTAAGTAGATTTTTTTTTTTTTAGAATAATTATAAACTACATCTAAAACTAGTACTCTGCACTCATTCTTATATGGGAATGAAGGGGAAGACCAAGTTGAGGATATTTTACCCTCTTTAGTGCTTAATAACAATTCTGAATTTAATAACAAAATGACTTTTTTAAAAATTGTATTTAGGATGGAAAATTATAAAACAATGTTAAATGGCTATATTTCTTTATGCAGCTTGTACATAAAAGTAAGTCATGGTATTAAATAACCTTTTCAGAGCATAGAAGACTTTCTTTCTTGTCTGGATGCTGCAGCAGAAGCTTGTGATATTATGATGAAAAGAGGAGACAAAAAGAGGGAAAGGTAATATTGAATTGCTCTATACTGTTAATTCTATGTGTGATATTTCATATCTGATATTGGAATTTGACTGTCTGAATCTTGCAGAGAGAACTATTGTTTCTAAATGGCTGTAGAACTTTAAGCATATTTAATCTTAATATACTTAGATGTCCTTCTCTGGCCTATCTTAATCAAGTCTCAGAATTCCTTAAACCTTTAGTTGATCAAGTCTTGGAGCTTTTTCTTAGCTTTGAGATCTACATTAGAAGAAAACTTATTTAAACCAATGCAGTTCTATTTAATCAACAACTCAAAAATAAAAAGTATACTTTGAATAACCTTGATACCCAGCTGTTTCTGTGATTTTTTAGCATATTTATCATGCCATTTACAGTTAACGTGTTTCTGTGTCTGATATCTAAAAGATCCCTTAAAATGTTCATGGAAATAAGTTGTATAATTAAACTAGAGAAGCTAACAGTTTATATAGAATGGAAGAACTTAATAAAAAAAGTCCAGTTGGTAAAAATTCACTAAAATATGTTAACCTATTTTTGTGATTTTCCTTTTTTTAAGGCAACTACTGTTCCAGCATAGACAAGCACTGTCTGAACAGCTAAAAGTCACTGAAGACCCTGCTCTTATTCTGCACCTCACATCAGTCCTATTATTTCAGTTCTCAACCCACAGCATGCTCCATGCACCTGGAAGATGTGTCCCACAGATCATTGCTTTTCTTAATAGCAGAATTCCAGAGGTATTACATTTTTAGTACATTTGAAATTTTTAAAGCTTTTTGATTCTTAATATTTTGAGTGAATAGATGTGAATCATTGTAAACTCTAAGACACAAAACATATTAATATCATCTTCCTGCTTCCAGGAATGGCAGCAGTAAATTAGTAAAACTCAAGAATCTTTAAGGATCCTTCTAGATCTATGGGAAAGAATAGTGTAAATTTGGAAATTAGGCTTTTAAAAATGTTGCAGTTAAGTCCAGTCTGCTTATGGAGGTTTAACCTGCCCCTTTAAAAACCAGCTCGAAAAGTCTTATCCTGCACACATTCTTCTGAGACACTTTGCAGCTAAAAACAGTTTGCCTTCTTTGAACTTCCATTTCACTTTCACATTATCTTTGGTGATGGAACTTAGGTAAATCAACTTACAGTAGAGTGATCTGTGATCATACTTTATCTTCCCTTAACTGTAAATTGTGTGTGACCAGGGACCTTGATAGATTCAATCTTAAACTTACACAGCCAAAGTTTTGTAATAATGAAGACCATCAGTGAGTATAGGTTGAATAAATTCTACTTAGTTCCATGGAAAATCAAATCATGGATTTGTTAACTTCTCTTTTCTCTTTTCACAGGATCAGCATACTCTTTTGGTAAAGTATCAGGGTTTGGTTGTAAAACAGTTAGTTAATCAAAATAAGAAGACTGGACAGGGAGATGATCCCTTGAAAGATAAATTAGACAAAGAACAAGAAGATGTCATCAATACTACCCGTAAAGAGCTCCAAGAACTTTCTTCATCCATTAAAGACCTTGTTCTCAAATCCAGGAAATCATCTATGTCAGAAGAGTAATGATTTACTTTACTTTTTTCATATAGTAAACATTTTTCCCCCAAATTAAAGATGAGTACTTACAAAAAAGTATTCATGAGTCCCTGATCTCACCCTAATATGCCCCTCCCCCACACACAGTTCAGTTAAAACAATAGTGCCCGATTTAATGTAAAGCTTATAAAAATGTAAATTTTTGTAAATTGGGTTCTCCATGGGAGTTTTCTTTTTCACATTATAATTATAAAAATTACACATTTTAGGTTTACTTCTCTCTAGATGCTGTAATAAAGAATAAATTTTCTGATGCCTTTTATTTCTCTAGTAAAGGACTCATTCATTGTGTTAATAGATTCAAGTGATATTTAAATACAGAAACTTAAATGTCATGTTTTACAAAAAAAATACCCCTTTTGCGTCAAAATTGAAACTTGTGTATTTTACTTTATAGTTAATAGAGAATGCTGCAAACCTAAAATACAGAGATTTGCAAAATGTTTAATACTAAACCCTTGCCCTCATTTCTGACAGATTAGAGCGCCTTCCATTTCTCCCACTGGAGTAAACTTTGTTTGTGCTTGGGCTATATCTTTACAGGTGCAGAACACAGAAGGCCCATGCCTTGCTGTGCTCTGTTCTAAAATAAGATGCTAAAACTTAATACAAGTATTTTTCTTTAACCCAGTTTGCATTTGTGAACTTCATGGTTTATACCAATAGTGACTCTAATACCTAATATTTTGTTGTAGGGGGATCTATAAGTACATCTGAATCATTGGAACTTTTTTTTCTCCCAAAAAGGAAAGAAAGCCCTAATAAAAAATACATTTTCTTGTTCTAAAAAATACTAGTTAAAATAATAGTTAAAATGGGCTAAAATAGTTCCTTAATTACTTCATCCAAATGAGTTTTAAGCAACAGTATGTTGTTATTAAAAAAAGGAATTTAATTATTTTGAATAGCAAATTTAATATCAGATATTTTTAAATTGATATTTTATATAATTACTTATATGGCATTTAAAACTTAAAATTTGTGAATACAAAAGTCAGTCTACCTCTATTCTTGACAAAGTATTAATAGTGAAAGAAGTTACATAATTGCTGACTAAGTATTTATTATTAAAGTTGATAGGAATGTAACATTAAATTTAAAAATATTTTCATTGGTCATTTTCTATAAATATATTTTCATATGGACAATTGAAGAAAAATGACAAATCTAACCACAAACACCAATTATTTTGTTTTCTCAGCTTCCAAATATTGAATATCCAACCTAATTTTTTATTCAGTTTGTCTTTCAGAACCTTATCATTTATACTTCAGCAGATACCAAAGTAATCCACATTATGTCAAACTACACCATAGACTACACCAAACAAAATCATTCTGACTTTATTTGTGAAAATAAATACAGAAGTGACAATGATGTAAATAAAACTTTCAGTCTTAGTCTGTTTGCATTAACTTTTCTTCTTTTATCAAATTAGTTCTTTCACACAACAATCAGAACAATTCTTACTGTTTTTTGTAAATAAAAATAGCTGATTTTGTATGGAAAGAAATTTCATTAATAAAACCAAGATTGTTAAATGTTTCTCTACCATGATCATAATGGGCAGGTTTAAAAATATTTAAAATAAAGTTGCCTGTTGTTTCAATTGAATTTTTGGTACTCTGAAGCTTTTATATGATGCACATATTAAATTAATGTATATTTCAAATTCTTCTGAAGATTTTTAAAGATTTTTCTTTTGCTTTGCTTATTACGGAAATAGTTACATAGTCTTTAGCTTCTTTTATGTCTTGCAAGTTTGTTATTTATGGGCCATTTCACCTCAGTAAATAATTTCAATTAGCTAGATTTCAACTATGCAACTATACTCTCTTATTTTCCAATTCCTACTATTGCGAATATAATGGAGCTACTTAAGTAGCATACTTAAATTAAGTTCACAATCACATGTTCTTTCTCCAAATCATGTTTTTGAAGAATCAATGGAAAGCCATCAGAAAGTGACAAGCAAAAGGTGGCATATTTTATCACATCACTGTGTATTTTCAGAGAAGACCCTAAAGCTAAATTAAGGTAATAAATGTAGAAATTGTTTAACATGAATGTAGAGCCATCTTGATCTTTTTAGAGAGCGTAATTTTGTCAGATCATAAAGCACTGAGATAAGGTCCAAGTACAATACTGAGCTAAAGTATAGTGGCACTTGTAGATTGAGAGAAATAGCTCATTCCTTCTTCAGAAATGCCACTCAACCCAGGGCCAAATGGGATTTTTTCCCATCAAGATCTTACTGATATAAGTTAGAGAAAAGGTACAGACAGTGGGAGGTTTGCTTTTTTTTTTTTAATCCTAACACTAATGATGACTTTTACCCCAGTGCATATGGAGGACGAGCTAATATTTATATAAACTTCTAGGTGCACACTTTCCACAGAAATCTGAGAGCATTACTAAAGTGACTATTAAAATTGTCTACATTCTCATAAGTTGATCTACCTTGAAAGTCATACTAGATAAACAATTAAATAAAGCCAGAAGAGACTTCTAAAATATCTGAGAAAGAAACCATGACTTACATGCTTTCAGAAACATCACAAAACAAAGTGATAGCTACTTTCTTTTCTTTTTTTTTAAGTTTCTTTTTTTATTTTTATATTCCCCATACAATTGCAACCCCCTGATTCTACTTTCAACATATATTAAATTTTTGGAAGTTCTCAGGCTTGTGTTGTATTAGTTGTTTTACCAGGCTCTAATTGTACTTATGTTTCTCTTCAGTGATTAGTAGTAACAGCTAACCTGAGTATGTATTTTGAGGAGCAGGAAGAATGGGATTATGTTGGTGATGTGTTGGAAGAAAGAGAGGACATGGTGAATTTAACGCTTAAAAAATAGGCCTTCATTGCAAGGAGATGGCAAGAATCAACAATTATAGTTCGGTGTAGAATTTTGAGAGAAGTTAGCAGAGGATATTATAGGAGAAAAAATGAAATACAAACTCTTGCACAGCAGGGAGTAGAATTACACAGGCTGGAGATGACTTCCTGAACTGAGCCCTGATGAAAATATGGGAAGGAAAAGCCGGTATTTCTGGAGAGAGAGCAGGATGTACTAAGACATGAATTAATAGGAAGTAATAAGACACTTAGGAAACCCTAAAGTATCAGAAATTAAAAAAACTGCCCAGGGAAATAGTATAAGAAGTTGGAGAGACCAGGGGTGTAATGATATGCATATACACTAATTTTAGAAGTTGAACCATTATCCTGAAAACAAAGGGAAACTTCCAAGATTAAGTTAACCAGGGAAATAAGTGGATAGATTTTGTCTTTGAGAAGGATAACCTGCAGAGAGAAGGTGGACATGTCTTGCAGAGAAACTTTTCTTGACTCTGAAATAATGTTTATTCAAATGTTAGTTCACCAAAGAGAAAACCTTTATCTGACTGTTCAAATTAACACAAAGATCCCAAAGGTTTTCTTTTCAGTTTCTTGTTATTCAATGTAAAAAAAAAACAACAAAAAACTATCAAATTGTTCTACAATTTGTCTTTAATCGCCTGCAATGTAGTTGTTAACCTAGCTCTATTATATAGGTTTCAAGGTTGTATAAATTGAAGGCATGACACATGCTAATATAGAATAATGTACTTGTCTAAATAACATCTAACAAATGTAAATGAATTTAAAGTGGGTGTTCTACATTTTCTCCTTCCCTCTTTCCCATCTAATTCTAAATCCTTGTGATTCATACTTTATAAATGCTCAAAATAAACTTTGGTGTTGAAGAAAAGAAATCTGAGAGGACAAGGAAAGAGGTGCACTCAGATCAAATTTTATAATATTGCAGCCATTCACAGCCACGTTAAAAAAATTTAATTGATTCGTAAATCATTCACAGTGCCTTAAGTAAAAATTGGATCTAGAACAACATACAATGTGGTCATGGTTTGTAATTAAATATATAAACATTTCCATACATTTACATAAACACTTCCTTTTATAGTTATATGCATACATATGCAATATTCTGAATAGATTTGGTTAAAGATTTGGGTCTCTTGGATTGCAAGCCATTTCAAATGGCTTTTCCTTATATATTTTTTCAATCTTGTTACAGATTTTCTGCATTTTATAATTTTCTGTATTTTTTAAGTCAATAAACAGACATTTAAAGAAATTAGGGCCTCCCTGGTGGCGCAGGTGGTTGAGCGCAGCGCTGTGAAGCTGTCCACAGCCTCTGCAGTGTAGGTTCCAGCCCGGCCTGCAGAGGAGATACCCACATGGCGTGGCAGACCTCTCCTGTCTTGCCTGCTGTTCCCCTCAGCAGTGTATTTCAGTCAGTCTGCCTGTTCTGTTCCCCACTCTGTCTCTGGTGAATCCTCTTACCTGCCCGCATATCTGGCCTGTACCCCAGGTCTTGCATCAATAAATAAATCTTCAAAAAAATAAAAATTAAAAAATCATTATTGTTCTATTATGATGCACAGAAAGAATAGAAGGTGACCAGACCAGGGTAGATGTTTTATGACTGGTCCAATAACCCAAGTGAGAAATATGAAGACCACAGCCCAGGTATGACAGATTTAAGAGAGATTTAACAAAGTAGAACTAACAAGCAGTGGAGATAGTGAAATGGGCATCTACTGCTTCACCCATGAGTTCTTGGCTTCCCTAGATCACAGAAGAATCAGGGAGCCAGTGGCCGCATTGAAAGCAGGAGAAAAGAGAGTGCAGTACGTGTAGAACAAGTATATTTGGAACAAAACAAGGCAAAGCTGTTTGAAGCAGAAGTAAAAGCAGCAAAGCAAAGCTCCTATTACCACGGGGGGACTCGAAAATTAATTGTCATTGGTGGAAATCAGGGGGCTGCTTTTATCTTGCTTTTATCTGTTGGTTTTTGTTGTTGTTGCTATTCTCTCTTTTGAGGGGGTTTGTTATGGGAGTAGCTCCGCATGTTTTTTGCAGCTGCTGTTCACTGGCCTTGGCTTGTTGCTGTACCCTGGATATTGGTACCACTATTTCCCTTAGCCCCCGCGTCTCTATCTCCCTGCGGCTGTCACCTGAGTTTAGTCATTCCCTTATTCAACAGGGGTGGTGAAGAACAAGTGAAGAAAGGAGGAGTCTTAGATGAAGGCTTGGAAGATTGTTCCATACCCTGAGAAAGGAAGCATAGTAGACTAACAGTTTGGAATGGGAGAAGGTGAAGTTTCTTGAGCCTGTTGAGTTTGAAATACCTGGGGCCTCTAGACAAAGATGGCCAGTAGGGAACAGGTTAAAGGTCTGGAATCTTAGGAGTTGAAAACACTTGAGATTTTGGAGTCATAGTATATAACGGTTAATTGCTTTGATAAATAACCCCATGGAGAATTTTCAAAGCATACCAAACTGAGAATGGAACTCTAGGGGAAGCTGAGGTGAATAAAGGGAAGAGGGAGCTGAGGATACTAAGAGCAAGATGAAAATCAAGAGAATGTAACTTAATGAAACCAAGGAGAAGATCATTTCAATAAGATTCAGCTGTGGCCAGAGATGAGCCATCTTAGGTAAAATTAAAGACAAGAACTTTTGAGGTACCAATCAAGATTGTTTATGATCTTAATGAAGATTTTCTGGTTGAGTATTTCAAGTGTTCAAGTGGAAGGCAGATTGCAATAGGTTTAGGAGGGAGCAGAAGAACCAAAAGTTGTTTCAGTGAAGGTAGATTACCCTGTCCAGGAGCATAGGCATGAACAAAGAGGGTGATGGCCCCAAACTAGATGGAGACAAAGGCAACTTTACATCTCTCAGCCTCTTCCCCTAGAAAAGGAAAAGGATAATGTCTGTCTAGCATTGGTGTCATAGAAGATTAAAATCTATTACTAATTGAATGTCCTTATGTTCTTTCAGTGAATCAATTTGTTGCTCCAAACTTGTTCTTATTTCCATAATCTCTTAATCATCAAGTCAGGTCAACAACAAAGCACAGATTTGATTGGCTTTGCAATTCCCTACCTCAAGTTTTTTGAATCTATAAACACATCTGAAGTTGACCTCAAAAAAATAAACATTAAATTGCTTTAGTACTTAGGAATAGGACAGTTAAGTTTGGTCTGGGAATAAATAGAGTTAAGATATAACGTTTCTTCTCTTCCCCTACCTTACAAACCAAAAGAAATTGCCTTGAGTGGAGCTTTTAGGAGAAAATTCACTGGATTTATGGATCTGTTTGATCCACTGAGAATTCCTGCTGTGTTTTATTCAATATCTTCAGGTCCAATTCTTGAAATCTCTAGTTGCTTTCATGCTTTGAATTGAAGATTTCAAAAGACCAAATAAGTCTGCTTAAATGAAGTCATACAGTCATGACATGACATAACAATTGTTGCCAGCTCATAGAGAAATAGGCAGAGGCAGGTAAAGCAGGTGCAGGAAGCAGGTGACTGCTTTGAGTTAAGCTAGTCAAATCCAAGTTCAAAAAGTTCCCTGGCTTCCCAAGAAGGCAATGATAGAGATCACCACCCAGGACTCATCTCTCAAGCTCCACGAATTCAACAGGTGAGAACATGGGGCCTCATCTCTTTCAGCCTCATCTCTTTCAGAGTTGAACAGAAAAGCTCTGCTGTGTGGCCATTACTAACCTAAAGAAGGTCTTTGATAGTCACCAGAAAACAAAACCAAATGAAAAACAGTTTAAGAGAAAATGTATTACCCTTTTAGAGATTTTTTTTTTTCATATATAGCATGCCCTTAGTGAGTGTATGTGCACTCTGTATTTTAATCATTTGGAGCATCTCCAGATATTTCAAATACTAATCCAGACAGGATTTCCCTTTAAGGATATCCTGTGGAGAATTTGTTGCTCATGGTTTTAAGTAAAAAATGACAAGGAATGCTTTTTCAGTGCTAGCAGCCAGTTACATGCTCCGTCACGTAGCTTGGAGGAGACCCACTGACCCTCCTAATTCCCTCACAAAGTTGAAAGTGCTGCCTTTGGGAGGAACTCTTGGATAGCTCTGGTGGCACATTCTGTTTCTTTTGGAGTTGGCATACACATGTGTTAGAGGAAAAGTCATCCTATATTCTTTTTTCATACTGTTTACATCATAGGAAGAAGCAGTTTTAAGAAAAAGTGAGTTTTGTTTTCTTTTCCTTAATGTTCACTTTGTGTGTTGTTTTTTTTTTTTTAAATGTGATGTATTTTTGTATTTTTTTTTAAGTAGGAGAAACTCTTACTAACTTTCTAGCGACCACTGGAGAGAAAACTTTTACTTGGCATGGCATGTAAATATACATTTTGAAGATTCTTAAAGACTTTAAAAAAGCCAAGTGAGTCACTGGTTGTCAGATTTTGTATTCTGAGCTCTTCAGATTTCTCATGGTAGTGATATGCATGTGGTGGCAACACAGGGATCAGATCAGTTCTGGAATTCTCATCGTGGTCTTTATACATGGGGGCAGAGCTTCATCCTTATGGAAAAAAAAAGGGGATTCTGGAATTTAATTTGATTAAATTTAAGTGAATAACTTTATCACTGATGGTACTTTATTGCAGGATGTATATTTTCAGAGCACAATTTGAAATCATTTACAGATTCTGGGTTAGGAAAATGTGCCTGTTATTTTCAAGAAAAAACTGCCTATTCTCCCGAAGGAAGCATAAAGATAATTCATAAATCTCAAGTTTTCTAGGATTGAATTAAAATGTTTGCATGTTTGGCCCTCACAGACATAGAATATACTGCATGGTTGGAAGTTTTACATCTTGAAACTGAGAAGGTGCTATTTAAGCAAAAGTCTGCATCCCATATGCGTGTATGCTTTCTCCCTCACTGTTTTAGTCAGACACCCTTTGGTGTCTGTCATCCATTTGAAAATTAAATGCATTTCCTCAGCTGTCAATTTGGGTTCAGAAATGCGGGAACTAAAGTGAATCATTAATAAAATGTGTAATTCTTATAAATAAAATGTAAGAAAACCCTCAAGCTATTTTAACTGTCATTTCATATTCACAATACTGTCACATAGATCGTCTAGCATTTTTATTAGCAAAGTATATGGATTAAAATTTCACACAAATATTGCAAACATATGTACCACACAAGATATTTCTTAACATATTTGTTATGATATATGCCTAAAGCCATAATCCAAATTGCTTGATGGAGAAGGTAAACTCTGATGTCTGTTTTCTACACTTGTTCTATTTATTCCCACATGTTATCATTAGTTGCCAATTCTGGGACTGTTCTACCTAAACTAGAGCAGCAGATTTGTATTTTAGTGTAACATCACCTCACTGACAGTTTTACCTCTTGTTTTTATTATACTTGCCAACAACATTTTGAGTAAAGCTGGATTAATTTGGGTTCCTTAAGCAAGCTACTAACTTTCTAGTGTAATGTTGAAGATAAATGTCTACCTCCAATATGTTAGAGGTATTTTGATTTGTTTTTTATGCCTTCATTCTAGGAAACAATGTCTTTAGAACTGAAAACCAAAATATTTGGGTTCACATGGAAAGTTCTTAGATGTCAGCTCACAAGCTTGCGTTTTCATGTTCTTGTGTTCATTTTCCTCTGTCATCATTTTTCTTGGTTACATTTTGATGGCCTGAAAGGGGCTGTGAAGTAGAGGAGAGTAGTGTGGAGGAAAGGGATTCCTTCCCACACCAACACCTCGAATCCCTCCAAAATGATGGGCTTGTGCATTTATCTCCACATCAGACCCTGTTGGGATCACAGATCTCCTTAAGAATCTGAGAGAATCAATAGATCCTCTTAAAAAGACATACAATCAGGCAAACAACAAAAAACTACTGTAAGTAGATTTTCAATGATATTTCAGGGATTCATAGATTCTGAAATCTGTCCTTGAGCATTTTCTGCAGTCCTGACTACAAATCACTATTCTCTGCCCTATGGAGCTCTGTGGAGCTGCATACCTCAGCTTCTTGCATACTCCAGTGGTAATGGGTTCACCAAATCTTTTAAAGGTTTGGAGTATAAGTATGCCTAAACTGTCCTTATCTCAGGACAGACACAGTTAAGGCAAGGATTTTAGCCAAAGATGAAGCTTAAGATTTGATTCTTAAGATAGTTGTTTAATATGTGTGCTATACTTGTTCAGAACTGTGTGTCAATGAAAGAAAAGTGGAAGATTCAAGTAGCAGAAGAGTTTCTTTTGTGGGCAACAGGATTCAGAATAGTAGGCTGAGAGAATTAAGCCTCTAAAGACCTCAGAATGTAGAAGACTAATAGGATCTTCCTATTTCTCTGATCAGACCTCCAAATCCCCATACAAACCATACTGGTAGTTTGGAACATAAAAGGGAAGATTTAGATGAGAATCCATTGCTTCATACCTGCCACCTCAGGATCACAATCATCAGTCTTTTCTTTTAGACTCCTTCCAAAAGTATTTAAACATGCTCAAATTTCTTGTCTTGAGAAAGCTTCTCTATCAGTTCTGAGTTCCTCAGGTTACCTTCATCCTCAGCTACATAGATCAATGTCTTGAAAGACTGTCTAATACTCTTTGAAGGCTCTCCATTTCCTTAGCCCCTGCTTCTCAATCTATTACAGTCTGGCTTTTGTCCTTATCAGTTTTCCCAAAGTACTCACTGAGGTTATCACTAGTATATTTCTGAATCCAGCAAACATTTCTCATTCTCTACCTACTTCGTGTCTCAAAAGCATTTGCACTGTTTTCTGCTTTCCTCATCTTGAAACACCTTTTTCCCGTGGCTCCTATTATATAATACTTCTATTTTTTTTAAAGATTTATTTATTTATTCAAGAACTGGGGTGCAGGTCAGAGGCGCAGACAGATGAGAGAACTCACCAGGGACAGAGCAGGGAGCAGAACAGGCAGATAGACCGAAGACACTGCTGAGGGGAGCAGTGGGTAAGAGAGGAGAGGTCTGCCATGCCATGTGGGTCTTTCCCTGGCCAGCCGAGAATTGAACCCATGCTGCAGAGGCTGTGGACAGCTTCACAGAGCAGCGCTCAACCTGCTGCATCACCAGGGAGGCCCCCATACTTCTACCTTTAAGACCATTATTCTCAGTCTGTTTTGCAAATTTCTCTTCCACTCCCCTATCTCCTAGACCCTTTTTTGCTGCTGTGTGATTTCATTGCTTCAGTTACAGATTCCATATATTTATGAGTCTAAACTTTTGGTCTCTGTCTGAGCTCTCTTCTCTGAGCTTAGGTCTGTATGTCCAATTATCTGCAGAATACAGGATTGGGACCCCAATGATGACAATGTGGGAGGGGAGGCTAGTTAAAATTTTTGACATCGAATTTGCCCTAGGATGCCTTCCAAAATACTCAAGTAACTTACATGACCCTTCTCTTGGCACAACTAAACAGCTCTGCCTGGTCAGCCCACAGCCCTCCAGATTTTGTATTTTATTTTAAAAGAAAACCCATCATTTCCCTCTCTATTTCCCACTCTACTCCCCACCCTCCCCGCAATATGCTCTTGCTCTGTAAATGACTTGATCCGACCAGTTGCTCAAACCAGAAACTTGGAATGCACTAACTCCTCCCTTTCTTTAATTCAAATACTCAAAGATATCCATGTTTTATCAACACAGACTCACTAATGATGCAAATGGTTTTCAGTCCCATTCAGTCATAGTATTAACTGAATAGAATAAATGATGTCTACATTAGAACAAGAATTATTACATATTACATATATAATCATAGTTACATATGGCCGTGCTATATATGTACACACACACACACACACACACACACACACACACAGACACTTCCCTTCCAGTAGATCAACAGTCCAACCCAGAAACAGCATTTGAAGAGAAGCTCTTTCTACTACAGCCAATATTTCCTTTTTTTAAAATATGTCTTAAAACTTCCTGTTCCCTATCTTCATTTCTCATTTTAGAGTCCTTCAGAAATGTTCTATAAAATACATTCATTCTTTACTAATCACCTGCAACCTACAATGGAGTATGTGGGCTGCTAGAAATCCATAGTCGTTCACTCTAGTGGAGCATACAATCTTATAGGAGATACAGAAAAATAAATGAGACTATAATTTGAGGGCACACTGTTAGTATGTTCCAAGTATAGATATATAGCGAGGAAGCCATATATCTAAATTCACAGGCAGTCCTTATTTGTTCATGTAAGATGCTGGGGCATCTCAACAAATGTTTCAAAATGCATTAAATAAATAAGAAAGGCTAAGAAGTCAATACAACAGAAATAATGTGATATTGAGACTGAAGCTTTAAAGTCTGATCCATGTTGAGTCCTCTTTGAACTTGAGCAAATTACTTTGTTCCTCTCTACCCTAAAGATAGAATGAAAACATTCTTGTAGAATTTTGTATTACAGTAATAGCAACAAT